GGATTTTCGCACCCCCCCAAAATGGTATAATTGCCCATTTTTAATGGATCTTTACCCTAAAAAGGTCACCTAGAATTTTCGGGAGCCTTTTTTTGGTTGATATTTTCGAAAAGGTAAGTTTTGATCCCTATAATTTCGGGATCACTAGACTTTCAGCTAGGAAATCCGAACAGGTGAAAAATTTTTAGGGGATAAAAAAATGCCTATATCTACCGTTTAAATGCTAAAATGCGTTCAACAATGCTATGTTTAAGTGCTTTTGAACTATATTCTCGTTGGGTGCCCCTGCAAGAAGAAGAACTGAAATGTTATGATTTTCGAGCTTCTGAGTTAAGGGGTTATTTGCAGTTCTTTTAAAAGGCTTTTTTTATATAAGGATTAGGTCATGGTACAGATAAGCTCAAGCTAGGCTAGCTCTTGGTTTTATACATGTAGATCGTGTGATCGTGGAGTTGTGAGCTTTTTGGATTTTGCTGTAAATTGTAAGTTAAGTTTAAGTTACTGCTTAAGCTTATTTACCGAACTGGGCATGTAAAAAATGACCATAACAAAAAGAAACTAAAGCATTGTTCATGGGGATTTTGAAGTCTTTCTTTAGAAAATAATATAACAACAATTGATTTTAGAACATGAGAACCTAATTTCAAAGTTTAGGCTCAGTAAAGAGTTGCCTGTATATTTGAGGACCCTCAAATTTAGGGATTAGTGAATTCATTCATATCAGGCAGCCGACTGCATGACTCCCTGAAAGTGGCTAAGAATAATAATGTGGAAATTCAATGTGGATGTGTTTTGCTTTTGATTTGGAAGATGACGCTGTTAGACTTTTTTGGATCAAAATTCTGCAAGAAATGTGAGCGCAGTTTAGCCTGCTTTCAATTTTATATTTGGTCAACTCTCTAAGATGGACACCTCTGGGATCTGAAAAAAGCGTCTGTCCTAAAGACATGTCCATCTTTTAGAATATCAATTTGATTATCGTAGTGATATCTAAATACACATCACTTACTTTATATATTGATGGGTGTGGAATGTAATTTCTTTGGCTGCCATTTTAAATTTTGTTGTTACTAGCGAGAGGCCTGGAACCAAGGAATATTGGGAGGTGTGGGAATTCACCATTTGCACATCACCCATAATACACCTTGTTTGCCCCCCCTCCCCCTCAAAATTTTGCAAAGGCATTCTTTTCTCGGTGTTTTCAACAAAACATTTTCAGAACTGTCATGGGTTCAATTTATACAGAATCTACCCTTGGCAGCCTGTTTTTTTTTTTTTTTTAAATAACTTGTATGCGAAAATTTCGTCTAAACTCCACCTCACCCACCGCTGGAACATCTCTTTCAAACCACTCGATTGATCGCTGAGAACTTTTCAGCGAGGTTTCCGCACAAGTTTTGCAACAGCCCAACACTACTCTTGACCGAAATAATAATTCGAAACGAAAAAGACACTGTAAAATATGGCGATTTTCCTGACCGAAGCCTGGCTCGCTCGAGCTGTTGTTGAAAATTACGCGAGGTACCAAAAAAACTACATCGTCATTGGACCGGTCTGGCCGCCAACTAAGCTGTGAACCAATACAAGCAGTTCGCGTCTCATGTAAGCCGTTCTCGAATAAATGGTTCCTTTCGCGTCTTGATGTAAGCCGCGGCTTGTTTTCTCTCGTACAATCGGCCCTAGCCTTGTTCTAAGCAAATGGAAACGCGTTTTGTTTGATTTGATATCTCATTTCGTTTATTCAATTCACTTCATTTCCTTAAATTTAGCGCCGTACTGACAAGACTTGTTGACTATAGTTACGTACAAAGAAAATATACACTAAAAAGTCAGTAAATCTAATACAATACTCGATGAGCACATCTGATGAAACCAGTGCTGTATCCCTTTCAATTAAGTAACACTGCATAAAGAACTATCAAAAAAATTATTGACTAAACTTGACTGTAACCAAGGAGAAAGTGAAAGCTCGTTTTGTCTATATTTAATAATTCATTTCGTTTATTTAATTCACTTCATTTCACTCCTTCCATGTAATTCAGTCAGGAAATTAATGACTTTCTACTACACTTAGCTGTCGCGGTAACCAAAACTAAAACCGCGAGTACTACAATTTCTTTGCTTTCTAATAGTGTAAATTACTCAGTAAAGTTAACATGCATCCAACTGAATGACCTTAGTCAGCGGTCACGTGCTCTGTGATGAGGACAGGCCCGCGATCAGACAGGATCAGTTTTTAATGTTTTGAATTTTTGAATTTTGAATTTTTTAATGTTTTTTTTTCAAGTTTTTAATTTTTTAATGTTTTTTTAATGTTTGAATGTTTGAATATTTTAATTATTTAATTTTTTAGTGATGCACTAGTGAACAGCACACTTAAACTTCCAGTGAACATTTTCACTTGGAAGAAGGAGAAACCATCATGCTCGCCCGGGGCAACGAAAATTTGGCGAAAAAAAAAAAAACGACGTCAATTTTAAGGAGGTGACGTGACAACTGTTCCATCACCTCTGTAAGGTTCACATAGTTCATCATTTCACGAGGTCACAATTTGCGAGAAAAATTGGTCGTGGGAACGAAAGCAAGACAAGCCTAGCTCATGAACGAAGAAGACTCCTTCGCCTATACTGCCTTAATTGACGAGATCAACAGAGTAACTTTCGTGTTATTCCTTGTAATATATTGTAAGTCTTATGTAACTTAAGAACCCTTTTACTCCTATCACTTCCTATCAAATTTATACCTTTTGCATTTGCCATCTAAGTTATATACTAAAATTAGCGATAAATCGCGTGGCATGTTATATGTATATTTAACAATTATTCCTCGAGCCCGAATCTACTCTGCCGAGTCAATAGCTATTGACTCAGAGGCCATGGGGGCGAGAGGGATAATTTCTTTAGTAAAATCCAACTAGTTGGTCAAAAATATTGCGACAAAACAACTATAGCTAGTCCAAGCTAGACTTTAATTCTTATTTGCCACCAAAAAGCCGGCGCTTTTCGCTACTGGTGGGCTATAACATAAAGCCTAGTAGTCGCTCAACCAATCAGAACACAGAATTGATAATAGACCACTAGTTGGATTTTATTAATATGCAATAGAGATCGACGCAGAGTTCCATTTATTCCAACACAAGCCCTGAGTTGGAGAATTTGTTCAACAGGTGGAAATAATGGTCAATGGAGAAACCTTGTCCATTTTTATTTCTGCCCTGCCGCAGGACATTGAATATGTTGTGTTGTTGCTATTTTTTTGTCAATTTCTATTAATATCTACAATATTAGGAAAATGGGTGTGAAAGGTATTAACTGCTCTGAAACTTAATTATGACTTTTTACATTTCTTTGAATTCAGAGTCGCTATGTACACATCAGCATTGTTTTATGGGAGGTAAAATGTTGAAAATAGGGGGATTTATTCTATCACGGTCCGGCAGGATAGGTATTTGCTTGTCATCCACAGGGCAATGTGTAAACGCGCTCTAGCAACGTTTAACGATTGTGCCAATTTCATTGGATACCGTATATCATCTTTTCAGTTCCCACTGGGGCTCGTAGTCAGTGTTTTGTTCAGTACGCAATATTGCCAGTTTCACCTGTGGTATCGTACTGGATACCGGACAACGAATGTAAAGCCCCCCTTTTTCAATATGCCCCCTCCCTTTTCAGGGGAGAAAAATTATTAAGTCCCTGTTCAGTATTTTAAGCTCCCCTTTCCCTCTTCGTCGGTTTTTTCTTATATGACAAGCTGTTTATTTATTAATAATAGAGAGGAGAAGTCGTTACGTCACGTTGCCATGGTAGCAACATTTTTGGATGACAACAAACCGAAAATTCACTTAAAGTAAATTCGCACTTTTTCAAACTTCATCGATCTTATTCAATTTCATCTAATTTCTCAAATGTTATCAAAATTTTCTGGATTTAATTCGAAAGGACCGTATCTGAGTTTAGAGAAAGAAAAAGAAACTTTTTGTGTTGTGTTCACTTACTCCGTAAAGAGGGCGCGTGAAGTTAGGAAGTTTCATGTCGCACTGTAGTGCAATGACGGCTAAGAAATGTAAAAAAAAACCGTGATGCGCTTGCAAAGTTGTTGTTTTGCTAATCTAAACCCATCGAGGTTTTTTTTGCAGTTCTCGTTACTGTCGCCTTCGTCGTTGCTTAATCTCGGCCTTATTGTTGTCATGAGAAATTTGGCTTCCATGGTAACTTGACGTCACACTTCTTCTCTCTATTCGTTAAAAATGTAACACTTCATGCGGAATGATCCGGTATGATTTATTCACATGCTTCAGCCGCATGGCCTACAACACTTTGTATTCTAGTTCTCTATGGAGAATTGATCTCATAATCTTCGCTGAATTAGATAAACCCCCACCCCCTTAAAGGGGCTTGAAATAAATTGGCCCCTGCGGGAACTTAAACGATGATACGGTATCCAATGAAATTAGCACAATCGTTAAACGTTGCTCGAGCGCATTTACACATTTCCCGACAAGAAAAGACCTATCATACCGGACTCTGATAGAATAAATCCCCATACTCAAACCACCCTCCAAATTTTTGTTAATTTTCAATAACTTTGTTGGCTCTAACTCTTTTTCAAACGTGGTCTGAAAGTACAAAATATTGACAATGTTATGACTCAATTTTATCATCAATAATAGAACAGACGATAAAAAACTGGCTTACCCAAGCCTTTTAAGGTGTGAGAAAAACACTATCAGTGTGCTAGTATCCAAACACTAGAGACCTTTAGATTCTGAGACTAGAAACGACAACGAGAACGAGATTTTTTTCGATACTAGTGAACCATTCCTGGGTGTCTAGGTTTTGAGAACACGCCAAAAACGTAAAGTTACCTGTCGTCCTTGTCTATCTAAAGGTCTCCAATGTTGTTCTTGCACCAAGAGCACGTACCGCCCCTTCTAAATGACCCAGAAAGCCGAAAACAGCTCAGAGTAGCAGCCCAAGATCCGCTGCTTCCCAGACCAACAGTTAAATTGCCTCGGTAACGACGTCATCCTTGGTTTCTTTTGTGTTATTATTCAGGGAAGTCTTAGTCCGGCCATTTGGTGGCGAACGGTTATCTCTGACACTCATCAAAGAAAGCGATAAGTTTTGTTCAAATTTGGCCTTCGTTGCGCTTCGTGGTAACGTATAAGCATCGGTTTTACGGGGAGCCGCAACTGTTAAAAACCTCTTATTATTTGACTTAGTGTCACTGCAATTGTTTTTTGAGGAACCGAAATGCAGTAAATTGTGCAGGGTTGCTTGAAACTTTTGGCGAAATTTTTCATTCAGTAGAATGTAAAGGCATGGATTTAAAGCGCTGTTGGCATGTGCTATCCAGTTGAATAGCAGCTGAACTCTCATTGGCCACTTGTGTTTTTGATCAGGTCGTACAAACCAGAAGTAATGATTGACATAGACTGGAAACCAGCAGACTGCAAATACCACGCATGTGATGACAAGCAGACGTGTAACTTTGCGTTTTAACCTTTTTTCAGCGGCGAGGTTGGTATTTGTCACATTTCCTGGAATCTTACGCAGCCATAATTTTCGGCAAATTAAGGAGTAAATGATTATTGTTATGGAGAGAGGTAATGCGTATACTATGACAAAAACGCAGATGTGGAAGCTCTTAAGCACTTTATATGTTTCGCTCAAGTCTGTGTCGTTTGGTGGTGCCCATGGCCACGCCTGTGAGTAATGGTAAACGCCTGGTTGCGTCGACTCTATTGTTTGATACAATAAAACATATGGACTCATTAACCCAAAAGATAAAACCCATATAGTTGATGACAAGACTTTTGGCTTTCGGAAAAATTTCCCTTTCAAAGGGTAAAATATGGCGTAGAATCTGTCAAACGAAATCAGCATCATTGTAAAAACAGAAGCGGAAATAAACACTGGAATGACATATAAAAGCGCTTTGCAAGTAATGCTACCCAACGTTCCTCCGATCCAAAGAGCAGGGTCACGGTACAAATAGGCGACCGAAAACGGCATAATCGTGATAGTTAGCAGCAGATCTGCAACGGCCATGTTGCCAATGAACAGGTTTATCACGCTGATGGATGAAGATTCCTTTTTAATTAACGTCACGTAGAAACCGAGCGAGTTACCAAATAGAGCTACGAGGAAAATTACCACATATGCTGACGTCAGGCCAATCTTGAGGTCTAGTGGAAAACCGACGGTATCCTGTTGAGGTGGGAGTGGGGTTACGTTCGAGGCGTGAGTGATGTTTGTTTCTAAAGAAGAGCCAAACGGCTGTTAACTTCAAAGCAAACAATGAATATAAATCAAATCAAATTTTGGAGCTTCAGTTTAAACATTGAAAACAAACAATATAGATCTACTAAACTTTAGCTTGCTGGTACATCACGTTATATAACAGTAAAAAATAAGAAATGAGAGTGTGAGACGGAGGACTGACTTCACGTTAAAGTCGGGTACTCTAACAACTGAGTCACGTTCACTCTTTGCATTCCGGCTCACTGATAGTCATGTAACAGTACCATGACAAAAAATTAGTTTTTGGCCTTTCAAAAGAGCCCAGTTCAGGCTGAACATCCCTCAGAATATAACTGAGGATGTCTTGCCTTTAGATCGTCACGTCCTCCCCCCTCCAGGCCCCATGAGGCTAAATCAGTGTAATGTAGAGACCCTAACCAGGACGTTGGGTTAGTATTATGGGATGTCATAATCGCTCTCGAAAATGTTAGTCGACTAGAAGTCTGTAAGATTTGTACTGATATTAAGACTAAGATAAATTGTTTCGGACGTTTACACCTCTTTCATTGTCCTGTTTACTAGACACCCCAAGCTTTAATTTATCAAAGTATAATTTTTAGTAAAAAAAATCGGATTTTTATTACTTGAGAAAGAAAGGATCATTATCGATGATTTCGGCGAAGATGGAAATAAAATTCGGAGAAAGCTTAAGTCCTGGTCGCCCTTAAAGAAACCTTTCTTCGATTTTTGGTACCGCTGCAAAACTGTAAAGGTATATTTAATGTTGGGAGGGGATTTTCGCAGTGTATAGCATTGAACAAGTTGGCCCTGAATTTTCAAGTTTCAAACCCCATGTCTATCCTTAACATTCGTAGCAAAGAAACAGTTTCCATATCACCCGTACAAAATTTTCACCGAGATCTCGGCGAGATCTCGGCGAGATTCTCGGCAGGATTTTGGCCGCCGAGATTTTTGGATCTCGGCGAGATCTCGTCGAGGTCTACGCGACAATACAAATCTCGCCGAGATCTCGGCGAGATCTCGCTAATCTCGGCGAGATCTCGGTTAAATTTTTGCACGGGCAGGACAATACTAGACCGCGAGCGGTCGTCCTTCTTTGCTCAGAACCACGCGCGCGAGTGAAAAAGTAAAATTATGCAAATTAATGGAAAAAGAGGAGGAGAGATTGGGGCGGAAAAAGAAAAAAGGACTGGAGAACTAGAGGGTGAACCAAACAGCAGTGAACAAATTAAACAATCGAAGACAAGCTGTTTGTTTACAGGAAAAAGCACCTACGCGACAATACAAATCTCGCCGAGATCTCGGCGAGATCTCGCTAATCTCGGCGAGATCTCGGTTAAATTTTTGCACGGGCAGGACAATACTTTTTCTTTGCTCGGACTTCCGCCCTCGTTCCTCGCCGCTTCGCCGCCCGCTCCTTACGCGTGCTTACGATCAGTCAGGGGCACCCAACGACCGCTTTCTGGGAAATGATCTGAAATGGCTCCTTATGCATCCTGGAGTGCTTTAAAAGCAATATAAATGAATAATTCGCATCGCTAAAAAAATTTGATCTGTTCGGTCGTCCTAGGAGTGGTTTGAACCTCTCGAATTTTCTAGGGCTGTTTTTCGCCTTTCCCGAAAATAACAGCCTACAGTGAAAGCTTTCCGAAAACGTAAGATGACCTGACGAGCTTTTCCCTTGACCGAAATTTTTAGGGGTCCTTTCAACTTTTCTCCGAAAACTTTATCTAGTGTGAGAATGTCTCCGAATTTTCTACGAAAGCTACGAAATTTCTAGGTGATCTAGAGATTACTACAAAATCCGAAATTCTTAGGTGAACAAACCACACAAATCCCGAAACTCTGAGCCAAACGAACAGTCACCACGAAACATTTTCGAAATTTTTAGCTGTTCTTGGGCTCCCGAAAATTCTAGCCATTCTAGAGGGCTCCGAACAGATATTTCCCCGAAAACGGTCGTTGGGTGCCCCTGATCAGTACTGTGATTCAAAGAAAAATAAGAGACTTCTCGCAAGACCATACCAATATCGGATAGGTTAAATAATAAAACTGGCCCATTATTTTTAAAATTCAGTTGATGCGAATACACGTTTTATCTTTTTTTAAAATGACGATAAAAGATGATAAAAAAGACGATAAAAGACGATAGAAAATAGCATGACATAGCCACGTTGGGGTAAAAAACTTTCCTCTTCCTTTAGCTGATTTTACTTACCATTAAATCCTGATGAGTTGTTCATTTTGGGTTCCCGGAGATTTAAAACTTCTATGACAAAGGAAAGAAATAAACTTCCTCAGGATCACAATAACTCCATTCCCTCCTCCCCGCCTCTGTGCACCATTTCCGAAACAGGCATAAAAGACCTTCGATGATCTTTAAAGGCTTGTAAAATCTTCAACTTGAGATGAAAAGCTCAAACTTTAGTGAAATATCGACATGGCCATGGCTTTTTTGAATTCAGGATAAGGGACATATGTATCCCCCCTCCAGGAGCCCATAATTCGGAGCGAGCAACTCAGTCTTTAATTTGGTGAGTTAGTTATATATATTTTTTAGCTATTTAGGAAGGATGAAATTCCGTTTTGGTATTGTTTCCTTTCTATTCATTTCTGCAAGATACATATTAAGCTGATTTGAATAAAACTGAATCAGATGCAGTTCTCTCATTTAAAGCAGCAGCAAAGAGTTAGTATGAAATACCTGACAACTGATGGTTTTCGGAATTCTAATGCCGCGTTTTCCTCTCTGTCACGGTTTTAGCTCTATTGAAACTCGGGTTGAAAAAGTCAATTAACACAAGACTTTGAATAGACGAGCACAATATATACATTCTACGTTGCGGCAGATGTTAAGTTTAATAAATTTTTGGATTTGGTCTTTATGAACAATTAAGTTAAATACGCTTTCGCATGTTATTAAATGTTTCACCGTGTGTCAAGAAGGGGGAGATATGTCAAGTAATTAATGCTGAAATTTCTTCAGTGCGCTAACTATGAAATGAACTAGCAGTCAAAGGTGGTTAAATCCTTCAACTAGCATCTCTTTAACAACGTATTATAACTGTTAATAAATGTTTTTTTTGCTAAATATCAACTGGAAATATTAATCAAAATGTCTATCAAACAAACAGCAATAAGACATAGTTATTAGAGGAGACTGGTTATGAAAAGCGGGAAACATCAATGATAAAAACAACAGTGCTGCAGTTTATGTTGGAAGCACCCTGAAAGTGCACAATCCTTTGTTTTCTGTTGGCAAACGGAATAAATTAATGCAACGTTTTTATTGGTTAATACAATCAAAATGATAGGAATTCTTTTGAACGTTGTGCACTTTCAGGTCCACAAAAACATATAACAAAGGAGTCTGACGGGTTTCATAACCATTCCACTCAATTAACTATGAATAAGATAACCACCTTTACAAACCACCATCAGATGGCTATTGTAATAGGGAACCGAGAGGAAAGGTGGCGCAGTTAACACTTGCTTTCACCCAATGAGACGCGAGATGTGAACATGTTTACGCACTTCATTATTTGGGGGTTCAGATTTTTCTTCCAATACGAACTTCAGTTTTTTCCCCTTGTTTCTCGACAGAATGTGGTACGCACAAACACTCATCAGAGCTGTTGACGAGCTCGTAGGAGCTCCTACTGAGGTGTTTATTGTAAGTTTTGTTGTTAACGCTGATTGGCCTATAATGCCCTGGGTGGGCGAGAGGGGCGAGAGGTAGTCCTTTTTTTTATTATTATTTAAAATGGTACCCTAATCAAAATTTTTGCCGATATGATGCCTCGAATACGCTGAATACCCGGTCACTTTAGATCGGAAGCCCAAATATTATGGTTTGGTTGTATTAGTAGAAACTTTTGGGGGAAGAGCGAGGAAAACACCACCCAAAAAGGGGCCTGGAAGTGCACGAACAGCCCGACCGGAAGTGACTAGCTAGTAAACTTGTGTCGAGAGAACTTTGCTCTTAGAGGACTGAATACGAATAGATGGACCATGGATTGTCCCGGACCGGACAAAATAGTAATACGTACAGCCACCCAAAGGTATTAAAACTGATTCCCCAGATCATGTTCATGCACTTACTGACATCACCAACTGCTCATTGTTTTCAATTCATCAAATTTTCCCACTTCGTGGAAATTGCTGAATACTACTCATTAAGGAAAGGGATTATTAATGATCTAAGGCCTGTTTCAAACGCCGCGTGCGCGACTGGAGCACGACACTAGCACGACTTGGTTTCAGACGTCGAATTTAATTCAGTCGAATAGAACGGCTGTTGCCGAAAACAAAACACAAAAATAAAGAAACGATTTAGCAAACTTTTAAATGAATCCTAATGTATTCATAATTTTTGAATGGAGTTCGGCACGGCAGTAGCACGACGTTTGAACCAAGTCGAGCTCCTGCCGTGTAGCCGTGTAATTTCTGGCTTGATTAATAAAGCCTTGTGTATTCCACCTCGTTCAATCCCACGTTTAAAGTAAAGATAAGCTAACGATGTCAACACAATGAGCTTGAACGAGGGTTCTGACTTCGAAGTTGAGATTTGAAAGAAGTGGATATGGATCTCTAGATTGCCTAGACGTATCGATAGATGGAGTAGATACTGATATTTAATTATAAACTCTATTGTTATTTTCACAAAGCATGCTATTTAGTTCCGTTTAATTTGTTAAAGTTATGAGTATAAACGCCTCCTATCTATTCAGTAAACGCCCCTTCTTGGACCCTAAATTTAAATAAACGCTATGAGTTTTTGCCAAAGGTAGAGCTGAAACGACGGGCATCTATCTATTAGATCATTTTTGTACGCAGATGAATTGTCAAGAATCATCGCTACTAAACCTAAATCAATCGCCTGCATGCATATGAACCTGTTTAATTATTTGCCAATTAATGCGTTTCGGCTCATTTATGATGTTTCTATCATTTATCATCAAAAATTGGAAAGTATATTTATATTAGTAACTAAGAATTTAGCTTTTAGCAAACCTTTAAAGCACCTGTTCTTACGGGGAAGTTATATTGACTATATTGGTTAGAAATATTAATAATAAGAAGCCTGCCTGCCATTCCACCTTATTTAATGTCAAGTTTAAAGGTTCTCACGTCGAAGTTGAGATTTGAAAGAGCAAGAATGTGGATCTCTAGATGGCCTAGACGTATCGATAGATGGAGTGAATACTGATATTTATAAATTCTGTTGATATTTTCACAAAGCATGTCACTTAGTTCCGTTTAGTTTGTTAAAGTTATGAATATAAACGCCCCCTCTTGGATCCCTGAATTTAAATAAACGCAGAGTTTTTGCCATAGGTAGAGCTGAAACGACAGGCATCTATCCATTAGATCATTTACGTACGCAGATGAATTATCAAGAAATTGGTTTCACCGCTATTAAGCCTAGCCTATTGTAAATAAATTGTCTGCAGGCATATGAGCCTGTTTAATTATTTGCCAATTAATGCGTTTCTTCTTATTTATGGTGTTTCCATCATTTGTCGTCAAGAAATTGGAAAGCATATTTATATTTGTAACTATGAACTTAGGGTTTTTTTCGAGCGTCACCCGTTCCTGTGGGGAAGATATATTGAGTATATTGGTTAGAAATAACAAAAAATGCCTGCCAAAATTAATTTTTTATTAGCCTGCTCATATACAGACGTCTCCGCTCACTCCCCGTCGCGAGAGGCGTTCCGCGACGGCGAGGAGCGACGAGGGACGGCTGTATTCGCAGGCTCGATTACCAACCGCTGTTCGGGAAATGCACCCGCGCTTCTCTCCCGTACAGGCTGTTAATAAGGCAATTACAAAAATCGCCAAACAACGAACGCTTCGAGAACTGGCCTCAATAATTGCTAATTTGCATAATCTTTTTAGTTCTGTAAAACTAAAACAGAAACTGCGGTAACAAACATGATGAAACAACGCATGTTGCAAAAAACTAAGATTTTAAAGACTCAGTGACGTTTCGTATGTAACAAAATACATCTTCAGAAGTGACGGTTAAAAAGATTAAAGTAAAATTTCAACATCTAGAAAAAGACTGGAACCAAGTCTGCAGTTTGAAGTGTGCAGCAAATTATAATATATGATGCTAGAAGAGAAAAAGTTTTTCACTGCCAACATTTTCATTTAAAGCAGGTTTTAAATCACGAATCAATAAAGTTTCTTTCAGTTCATTTTACAGTCTGATTGCCGGTTGTTTAAAAATATCTATTAATATATCTATTAATTAAATATTTTAAAAAATCTATTTTAATATTAAAATATCTCAAAGTGATGTCATTTAATATTGGGGCCCGTTGAAGAAATATGGTCTGCAATGGCAGAAGTTTGCACTGCAAGGGGCAAATTCACTTAATGTGAGTTTGGTCGTAGGGCAACAGTGCTTTTGACTTGTGGGGGAGGCACCGAGGCCAGGGATACCTCTTGGAATGCACGACCATGTAATGTATCCTTCGTATACTTGTTGGGCTGTTTCTCGTCCCAGGATAAGATATTCTCGTGTTTCTGTCACTTGACACACGGCGATCTGAGGCTCTTTGGCTGTTGCCGAGTGTGGATTGCAATTAATTGTGAACGCTCCTAGATTTGAAATAGGAAATTCCCCATATCAGAAGATCTGCACCGAGATAGAAGCACTAATCTGCTCCTGATAGGAGTTAGTACCTTATCTACAAAATAAATAAGGATTTGTGTAGACTACGAGCAGTCTCTCGTTTTTCTTGGTCCGTCGAGCAAAACGCCTTTTTTCGTCGGAAGTCTTCTTTATCCTTACCCGAAATTTCAAAAATTTAGACCTCCAAAAGGCGTGTGTTGCTTATATTAAAAGAACAGAATCACTTTTTTTGACCTACTTGGCCGGCCTGCGTGGGAGGCTATGCACGAGTCCCCTGCGCGGTCTCTGTGGACGAGCGCATGGACGCCTGGCGAAAAAGAAAAATCATGTGTTTTGCTCGAGACATCACTGAACGTCTTGGCTAACTGAAGTGCGGTTACCGCCGGGTATTCGTTTGAGCTGCTGTCATGGCTCAGTATGGCTACTTGTCTACAAGTTTAACGCAGCGAGGTGTCGTTTTTTTAATTCTGGTTTATGTGAATTTGCACGCCCTGAGCGAACAAGACGTTGTGTTCGGCAGAGAGAACTATGTAGAACAAAATGTTTCGATAAATCTGGAGCACTCTGTTTTCACTGTTAGTGAAAAGTTTCTTTCCGTAGCAATTGATGCGAGTATGATGAGGAATCATTGGCCCCACATTAATTTTACTTCTGAGAAATTTTATACCCTCGCGAGAGGTCTTTCCCCAGCTTTTCTTCGTGTAGGTGGGACGTCCGCAGATTTTTTGATCTATAATGATTCTTCGGGCTATAATAAGTTCAAGAATGTTACAAATTTTACAATAACGCACGAGGATTTGGATAAGATTCATCTGCTGTCTTCTAAGGCGAACTGGAATGTTATGTTTGGATTGAATGTGCTTCTACGGCAGAAGGATGGATCTTGGAATGCGAGTAACCCCAAACAAATTATGCAGTATGTTGCTGAAAGTGATTATCATTTTGGTTGGGAGCTTGGAAATGGTAAATTAAAAATAGAAATAAACTGGATGTGTAAATGTAGTGGATATTAATTTTAGGGATGATTTTACCTTACCCTTGAAATTGATAGTACGGTTAACCAGGCAGTATTACACTCTGATTTCAGTTTTTTCTTTTGTTTACTTGTAACTATTTGGCAGTAACTTTGTAGATCCAGGTTTAGATACTCTTTCATGGGTTACTTGAAATCATTCTATCCTTAGCTTTGAATTCTATTTACTTTGGACTTTTGGGTATCATACTGTATGGAAAGGAGTTATAAACATAAACGAAAATGACAATTAAATCAAGGATGAAACAGAGAATACAACACATGCTGTGGCTCAATATTTTACCTGATTTAATTACATTTTCCTTTGTTTATAATACAGGGGGCACTGGGGGCTGCTAGAGCACAGGCTTTGTGATAGTGAGTTTTAAAATTAATTTAATTTATGTCCATGGAGTGTAGCATTTGTCAAGAAAAAAAAAGCAAAAACAAAAACAAAACAAATAAAATATAGTTAATCATCAATTTCTTTAATCTCAAGCTACGTTGTACAAACAGACATGACATTTTTAGGTCCAGAATGTTGGGAGTGGTTGGATAGTGTTCGCATTGGTTTGAAAAAAATTCACAACTCATTTTTACGGAGACAATGTGTTATGTATGTGTCTGGCCCCAAAAATGTTGGAAGAGCTGTGCAAACAATGTGGTGCCATGCGTTGGAGATCATAGAACTAAAAGAATGCCTGGAGTAGTTAGCTCAAAAGTTTGACCAGTTTCAAACTTTGTGCAACAACTCCCAACTACACGCAATGACATTGCAACGGGGTGCGCAAACAGATGCGACATGTAACACTCAACAAAGTTAGGTGTTGTTCAGGGGCACCCAATGAGAATATAGTTCAAAACCACTTAAACATAGCATTGTTGAACGTATTTTGGTATTTAAATGGTAGATATAGGCATATTTTTATCCCCTAAAAATTTTTCATCTGTTCGGATTTCCTAGCTGAAAGTCTAGTGATGCGAAAATTATAGGGATCAAAACTTATCTTTTCGAAAATTTCAGCCACAAAAAAAGGGTCCTGAAAATTCTAGGTGATCTTTTTGGGGTACAAATCCATTAAAAATGGGCAATTATACCATTTTTTAGATATTCGAAGATCCTAGGAGAGGCAGGCAAGCAACCAAGTTTACAACAAATGTTCCGACAATTCTAGATCTCAAATTGTCTTCCGAACAGATATTTTCTGAAAATTGTTGTTGGGTGCCCCTGGTTGTTGGCCAGCATTAATGTTGCATCTGTTTGCAAAGAGCTTAAAGGGGATTTAGTCAACGGAGACCAGTAGATTTTGCGTATGTCCTATAGTCCCCTATTTCCAAAGGGCAGTGAATGGTTTTCAAAATGCATGGTGTATTTTAGCTGAACTTTAGTAGGTTTAACAAAATCAGTTATCATGGTTTCTCTGCAAATTAGTCTTTTTCTGCTCACATACAATTTAAACCATTTCAAAATTTGGCTCTAGGTTTTCATGATCATGTAAAAAAGGTAAGATTCAGGTTGCAATAAATTGCATAGTTTTCTCTTAGACCTGTCAAAATTTATTTCCTTTTTTGTCACTTTAAGAACCTAACCTCTTTGATGATTTCAATAAGTCACTGTCTCCAGAAGATCTTGCAAGTGACTTCCACACATTGAGAGAAATTCTGAAAAGCAGCCCTCAGTTTGGAAATTGTCTTGTTGGCCCTGACGTTACCCGGATTCAGAATTATTCTAAAAGTGCAAGCTATCTTGAAAGGTAATCTTATGTTAAACCCCCTTCCGTTCATTGCTTTGTTTCTTTATATAGAGCCTGATCATTTCAAGACATATTTTAACAAGTCTGTATCTACAGAGGAGCTAGCAGAAGACTTTAAAACCTTAAGGGCAATTCTTAAAAGCACTCCTCAGTTTGGAAACTTTCTTGTTGGCCCTGATGTTACGACAGTAGGGAATCACTCCAGAGCTGCATTGTTCTTGGAAAGGTGAAGTTCTGAACTGGTTAGAATTTGGCCAAATAGCTGGCTCTTACCAGGTGTTAAACACTGTCAGTATAAAGAATAACACTGCAGTGACCTTGAGAGGGGGACAGCTTTTAGTCTAATGGTGCTTAATTAAGACTATCCAGCTCAGGGAAGTTGTTGTCAACTTTAATAACCATACCCTCCTTTAAATAAGTGCCCCCCTTTGAATTAGAGTCCCCCGTGAATCTATTAGAACATAGAATAGAAGTGTTCAACACAAGAATTTACTTAGATAACCATAGAGGAGACAGACTTTGAGAGTGACCACACCCAGAAAATTAATAATGAAGTAAGGACCCACTTTGAATTAGTGCCCCTAAGAGGATACCTTTTTTGACTTGGCAGCTTAATTTAAACACAGGAGAAAAAACAAGGTACATTGTTACTAGTAAAATTGTTGAGGTTTGTTAATAAAGTCGGAGCTTGAGCATTGTTGAGAAAGTGTCAGTCATTCTATACCCTTTATCTGATATCCTTATCATGATCTCTCTGCTGTTAATTTTCCCTGTAGTGAATTACTAGCAGCCTTTTTTAGGAATTTAGGTGGTGGGGAGTGGCACAAATAGGAAGCAGAGGATTCTGTTCTCTTTGCACTGCCCTCACTATATGAACATGAACAAGGAACAGGCTAACATTAATCACAATGAGGTAGTTTATACAACCTAAATAAGTGAACTTGTGCAAATTCTCGACTTTCATTGGAGATAAGAAATTTGAGTATTTGCCACCATATTACTATTATCATTGTTTTGTTGTCCTCTGTTTAAGATTGCAATTGCATTCTCTTTTTTTCCATTTTTTAGTTTTGTTTCCAAAGCTAAAGATGTCATTGATGCGGTTACTTGGCACCAGTGAGTAAACTTAGATGTGAATTATTGTAACAAATGATTGTGTTATTTCCCCATTTTGATTGTTTGTTATTATTTTTTAACTTGTTAGGTACTACCTTGATGGAAGAACTTGTACTATGAAAGATTTTTACAATCCAGATGTATTGGATAAATTGCTGTATGAGTTGGAGGAAGCCAATGACATCTTGGATAAACTAGATCCAGGTACACCCAGGTGGCTGGGGGAGACTAGCAGTGCTTATGGAGGAGGGGCTCCTGGATTGTCTGACAGATATGGCGCAGGATTCTTGTAAGTTTACTTTCAACAATATTATTTTTAATGGAAGTAACATTTTTTCTTTTTAGCATCAAAAGTGGCAGGATGGGGTTGGAAAATTCCATTTTTAGAATCAGGCAATATTAGCACATGCCGTAGGATAGTATATGGCTCTTAAGGTGCTTGTAAGTCTGTAAATCTGGTGTGGTGAAAGGGTGTCAATATTATTTTTAATATATACCTCACCTAATTTATCAGGGTGGCACACCTGTGTTGAGTCCAAGTGGTCAGAGGGGAGACTAGGAGAATTCCTTCCCCCTGGCCTTCAGCTGCGGTACTTCTCCTTCTTTCTATAACTACTAAGTGACTATACATTCTGCAGCTCTTGTGTGGTCAGTTTCTACTCCATAACTACATGTTACTGCATAGAATTAGAATTACATGCATTCTCCTGTTCCGTTTATCATTTCAAGTGAGTGGATCTTGAGAAGAAAAAGAAAATCGAAGTGCCATCGCTGGATTGCTTTTACAACTTAGAAACCAGGCACTGGCTTGTAATAAAATGCACCCCTCAACAAAAAGTATTTAAGCCATACAATATTAAAATCTTGTTAGCCTATAGATAGCTCCTCCTTGCTGTAGAATGAAATTCTAAAGTCTTCCTTGGCAGTCATCAGTTTATTTCATCACACAATGTCCTCCCGATCCCTTCCCGCTGAAGGGGACAACTCCCTTTTGAAAGGAGCAGCGATGCCCATCTTCTTGTTAAGGAGAGTAAGTCGCAGATTTTGGTCTACTGGCACCAGCATTTTGACCCATCAGCTATTGCTAAGAAAAAAAAGTCAAAAGAAGTAGATGCTTTAATTAGTGTTTTCAAGGTCTGGACACAAGCGAAAAATAAAGGAAAAAAACTGCTTCTTGGGGTGAGGTATTATTTATTGTTTTATATAATGGCAAAGAAAAGTTAGATAAGAATAAAGCAGTAAAAAGTTGAAAAAAATGGTAGCGGTACCCAAGAGAGGTACCCCTTGGTCGGTGAATATCATTTTTCAGCGCATTGTCACCATGAACAAGGGTTATATGCTTCTGTAACCTTTTCCAGGCTCTTAGATAGTGGGGAAGACGTGAAAGTGAAAGGCGCGCAAAAAAGTAGCCTGTTCCAGGCTCCGAGATAGTCGGGCCCGGGGAATTGAGAAAACGCGAACAAAAACAGGAGGAAACTTTTTTTCCCCACCTCGCCCCCATTTTCGCGCGCCCTTCACTTTCGCGTCTTCCCCACTATCTGAGAGCCTGGAACAGGCTAGTGAAAAAGGGGCGGGTCGAGAAAAAGGAAAGAGGAAAAAGTTTCCTCTCGTTTATTTTCTTGTTTGCGCACTCTCAATTCCGTGGACCCCACTATCTCGGAGCCTGGAACAGGCTAATGCTTCTGCAATGAAGTACTTCTATTAATTTTTTAATGTTTCCAGGTGGCTTGATAAGCTGGGTCTTGCTGCTCGAATGCGTCATGAAGTTGTTATTCGCCAGACGTTTGCTGGAGGAAATTATGCTCTACTAAACAATGATTTGGACCCAAATCCTGTAAGTATAATCTGTCAACTAAAGTAACCTGTTCCAGAGCTCTCGGATGATAGGGACGTACTAAAGCGAAAATACGGTCAAACGAAAATTTGACGCGCCTGATAAGAGAAAAGGTAACCTGAGATCAGGGAAAATTTTAGCAGTTCTCATATGTAGTCAAATCACTCTTATGCAGTCCGGCTTTCCCGCCGTTATTTACAAAGAGAAACGAAAATGGAGCCTGATCTCAGGTTAGAGAAAAGGAGGCTGTGGTGGGAAAAAGGAAAGAAATCCTGTAAGCATATCTTTCACTACCCTCTTTTACCCTTTTTTTGTCAACTTGGATAAATTTAGGCTGTCAAACTGTCAAAATTTCGATTTGTTGGAATCATTTTCATATTTCCCGCGCCAGTGTTTTGCAGGTATTTCTTGTCTTCCCAGCTCCCGCGCGTTTTCCCCACTTTTATCATGATAATTGTATATAATATTTTGGAGCCTGGAACAGGTTAATGGTAAAGTTATTATGCTCAAAGTAGTAATAAAAAGAAAATAATAGAAAAATGCCTCGTTCCATATCGAACGAAAGTGACCAAAGCCGTCGTCAAAGGGTTTAAATTGTACTTCTCATCACATGTAGTTTATAAGGGCTTAGCAGTGTTGCCACTCCAACTGTTCGACCGGTCACTTCGTTAATATTCGACGAGAATGGCATGGCCCAACCATTGGCAACAAGGTCCCACTGTAACTGGAATAAGCTACTGACTGTAATCTCCCTCTTGAAACATATCTCTAGGGATCTTAACGCTAACTGCCCAAATTATAAACTGTACTTTCATTCCGTGCATCCACTGTGAATTTTTGTCGTACTAAAAAACTCGTTTGTGTTTCTTGCAGGATTACTGGCTGTCTTTGTTATACAAGAGGCTTGTGGGGGTAAAAGTCCTAGAGGTGAATGGCGGAACAGAAGAGAAGCGTACCACCCGTGTATACGCTCACTGTGCTAGCAGGTATAAAATGAGTAGAAAACTCTGTCCAGTCACTTTGAGGCGTGAGCTGAACTGGCTCTTTTTGTTACTACACTCTCGTTGCTTGGAAAGGGGGTCCCCTAACAGCTGAGCGGGGCTTGAATTTAATCATTTATTGCTTTACGGAATACAGGAAATACCCTGTTGGTGCTGTCACCCTCCTTGTTCTGAATATTCACAATCTTGACCCAGCTGGCTTGAAACTTACTGGAAGCCTGCAACAAAAACAAGTGGAAGAGTACCTGTTGACAACAGAAAACAGTGACCTTACGTCGAAGTAAGTACAATAGTCTGAATAGTTTTTGATGATAAATGAGGTTACTTCGTACTGAAGGAAGCAACACCCTAGGTATGGAAATTCCCACGTTAATTAAGACAGGTAGGCAGGCAGCCGACAGGCAGACAATCCAACAGGCAGACGGGGAAACAGACAGGCAGGTAGGAAGGCAGGCAGTTAGGCAGGTAGATAGGTAGGTAAGCAGGCAGGCAGGTAGGTTGGTAGGCAAATTAAGCAGGCAGAAAGGTAGGCAGGTAGGAAGGCATGCAGGCAGGCAGGTTGGCAGTTAGGTAGGAAGGAAAAAATCATATGGATTTCTACCCTAACACCCTCTTCCGGTATGAGGACTGTAGGTAGGTGAGTAGTGCAGGCAGGCAGGTAGGTAGACAGGCAGGCAGGCAGGTAGGCAGGTAGGTAGACAGATAGACTGTTACAATGTAATTGGAAGTGACAGGGGTCACTTCTTGCATTTTTGCCCCGAGCTGAAGTTCGTCAGCTTTTGAATGTTTTTGCGGTGGTAAATTGATTTTTCTGGGTTGTCAAAACCGACCGATAAGTCGTGGTTGGAAGACCGACATCTCTGCAACCGTTTAAGTGTTTTGTCGAAATTGCAATTAGACGAGGGTTAATTGAAATCTTGGGGTGCTCGCCATTATGCCAAATTTCCGGAACTTTCGTTTGATGGAACGTTTCGCTCCTGGTGGAAATTTTCCAGAAAAAGTGATGCACCTCCAGAGGTGTTCCTCCTCTACTAGTCGGTCACTTACCGTTACCTTTCCAAAAATTCTCGTTTCCAGTCCCACTTCGCTGAGAAGTGGTCAGAATTTCGGTTTAAACGTACCTCATTGCATGAAATTTTCCCGACACTTAAATTTCGCGATTTTGCAAAATTTTTGTACTTTGGATCACTTTAATTTCGCGATCTTTAGTAAGACGCTATTTATTTAACTTATCCTTGAAGCAAACAGAACAATGTCATTTACAATAACGTCAAAATTTATAACGAGATGCAGCGACGGTTCTATATGAGAACAGTAACAAGAAAGTTCTAACAATTTCCATAATTATGCTTGTTCGTTATAATTTTAGTCAATTGACCATGATCTCCATGTTCGTTTGTGTAAAATTGGCCTTTCTTCATTAATTATTAGCTATTATTGATATATTGTTATTCACTTAATTATCGCATCATGTTATGCTCGCGATACTTTTTGTTCGCGTCACTTTAACTTTTGCGATTTTAAAAAGAGTCGCGATTTTATTAAATTGTCGAGAAAATTTCGTGTAATAAGGTGAATGGAAACGTCTATCCGGTTCGAAATTTCGTTCCATTTTCTCTTGGTGAGTTCTACTGATCTCTGACAGGTCGGTTTGGCAGAGTGGACAGCATCTCCGGTAAGGGTACACTCCCGTTCTGCTGAGTGCATTTAAATTTACCTTGAACCAATGGTGAAGAAAAGTGGAGTGATAGAGTTGCTCTTATCTCTTTTTGTGACAGAACCGTCAGACTAAATGGAAAACTCCTAAAACTTGTGGATGACCACACCTTTCCAGATCTTATTCCTGCGATTGTACCGGGAGATAAACCTCTCATTCTTCCGCCTCTGACGTTTGGGTTTTACGTCATCCCAGGAGCTTCTGCTGGTGGGTGCAGATAGGCCAAAAGCCATCCGTAGAACAATTGAGGACGAAAATCACTGTTCAACGAAGGCTGAATTCCTAGCACCTTGATATACTATCTATCATTCATTTTTTTAGTATAAGAATGTGTCACTGAATGACGAAATCAGTTTTTCAAATTAGCCCCAATTCTCAACAGATAATATTTTCGTTTTGTATAACTGCACTTCTTTGCAGCAGCTGTATTTTTTGTAATTTTCAGTATTTTTCTTCAATATGAATTGCAACTGTAAATTCTCATAGGTCTCTATTCAGTTGACCTCATTTATAAATTCAAGCAATATCAGTATCTATTGAGTGCCTTAGGAGTCATATATTAGTAACAGATGAAAACAAGTTGCAGTGTGTGAAAAAAGCCGCAATGAAGTTGAACTTGAATTCAATCGAGCGGTATGGAGGGTGTGAAAGGAAAATAAATAAAGAAAACGTAGTGTTTTACTGATGAAGTGGTGGTTTTTAGTTTGTTCTTCTTCGTGAGATTAGAATAAATTGACCATGTAAATATATACGAATCAAGAAAACTAAATCCGTGGTAATTTTTTTTTTTTTCCTTATTAAAGCGGCACTTTACGCAATAAACTTCCAGGGTACTCTTTGCAATCGATGACAATTTTTTTTGTCAAATTCGTCGCAAAGCTTCTCAAAGCCTCTAACTACCTTGCTCTTCGTTAAGTAATAGGTGTCTCCCCTCTCTGATAGTTTTTTTCTACCGTGTTTAGGCTGTGATTTTTCGCCAACTGGCACCGAACAGTGTTCGGTGTGAAATAAAATGTCAACTTTTGAATCATTAATTCTTTATTTTCTTAAAATGCGCCTCTGTGTGTATAGATCTATTTAGTTTTACAGGCCATTTACCTTGCTCTCTTAAAATCGTAGAAAATGGGAAGTGCTACAATATCAAATGTTCCATCCCAGGGAGACCTTCGATGCCTTATCTGCGATCATACTTTTTACCCCTTTCTTTCTGTTTTTTTGAGAAGAGATGAGAAAGGAGATAGTAGAGATATCGGGACGGCGTGATTTACAGGCTAACAAAAGCCCCACCTCGGGAACTCATGATCACAACCTGGCAAATACCCGACACCAGGAACTATACAGCCCCCGAAATGATCCCCAACCCAGAAATGATCCCTAAATCGACCCCGAAATGATACCGACAATTTCTCTTCACGTCGACCCCGAAATGATCCCCAATTAATTTTAGGAATGGAATGATATCGTAGAACTATGGACTGATTAAAGTGCACAACATTGACTCATTAAGTTCACTAATAATCTTCACTTGCAGCTACTTGCCCACATTTTTTAATGTCATTAATCTGGGATTACACTTTGAACTGCATTAAACGAAAAGTCTAGTATATTTTTAGTAACCCCGTGAACTGCAAGTGATAACATTAAAAAACATAACATTTTAAATTATCATTACTTACTTTAGGTGATTATAGCCTGGGTTATAGAGAAAACTGCGTGAATGTTAAATTGTAAAAATGATGTTAAAACTGCATGCCTTGGACATTGAATTTGATGATGGTGATGTTGGTGATGCAAAAGTAGACGAACTGACTGACCCATTACCACTCAAGCTTGCTCTCGAACTTGCCTCCCTGACGGCTTAGTGAGGGCAGAGTTGAATTGATTTCAGCTATAAAGGATGGAAATGTTCGAGTTGAGGTTTTCTTTGTTTCATGCTTTTACCGATCGTAAAACTGTAGCACGAACTCTTGAATATTGGATAGTCCATAGTCCGGCATTCCTTAGTCCATAGTACAGTCATGCTGATCCTTACATGGAAGTGGCATTCTTCACGTTTGGATGCGCTTCGTTCAAGTGAGATTTCTTTGGGTGAACAACATGGCATATTTTGGCATCATTTTTCCTCGTTTGACGCTGCTTATATCTGTGTTTTCGATACTTGTCTCTGGGAATTTACGTGCATTGAGTTTCAAGGACATAAACGAAGACGGTAAAGAAAAATTTGTGGAACAAACTGTTTCGATCAATTTGAACCAGTCCGTCTTCACAGTCAGTAAGAAGTTTCTCTCCGTGGCAATTACAGTTGGTTTGATACGGGAGCATTGGCCCCACATTAACTTCACCTCAGAGAAATTCTTCACTCTCGCAAAGGGTCTCTCTCCTGCATTTCTTCGTGTGGGAGGGACGGCCGAAGATTTTTTGATCTATGATGATTCGCCAGGGTTGAACAAACACAAGAATTTTACTAATTTTACAATAACGCATGAGGATTTGGATAAAATTCATCTGCTGTCTTCTAAGGCAAACTGGGATGTTTTGTTCGGATTGAATGTGCTTCTCCGAGAGAAGGATGGATCTTGGAATGCGAGTAACCCTAAAAAAATTATGCAGTATGTTGCTGATAGTGGCTATCATTTTGGATGGGAGCTTGGAAATGGTAATTTTATACCGGGGAGGGGGGGTGGGGGGGGGCACTGCCATATATGGGTTATATAGGTATGTGCCCTGTAAAGGGTATGGTTTTCAAGCAGTTTACTCTAGGATAGGGTATATAAATCAGAGCGTCTGGGTCTAGAATAGGGTATCATTTTTCAGCAAGCTGATCAGTTGGTTAAAGATTTTAACTACACTAGGGAAACAGCTACTCTAGGATAGGGGGATTTGGGGAGTTTACTCTAGTATATGGTAGCAAAATTCAGCTGAACTAGCTCTGGTATAGGTTAAGGGTTCCAGGGTCCCAGCAGCACAACCCCACCTAGAAGTTCTTACAGTACCCCCCCCCCCCGGGGTAATTTTGCGAGAGGGGGGTGTGGGGAGGTTTATCAGGAATATGGTAGAAAAAATCAGCTGGATCACCCTCGGTTATGGTTAAGGGTTCCAGGGCCCCAAACGCCAAACCCCCCCTAAAATTTTTTAAGTGCCCCCCCCCCCCCGGGATTTTATATAAGTGCACTCAATGTTTGTTATCGTGTTTTATTTTAGCCTTAATTAGCCTAGGCCAAATTTATTCCTATGGTTCAATTAACAGGGACAATGAATAGAGCATTGTACAGTATATGGACCAGAGCATGCTATATATCCTAACAGCTGACACAAAGTTAAGGTTTTCAACGAGCTAAAGACTAATTTCTTTGAATGTTTTAAACTAAGTTTCAAGTGAAACGTGCTTAGCATGATTATTTTATTGATGTTCTCTTTTCTGACATTTTATAATCTAACCATTTGATACATACGTACATTGTACCATTTCAAAATTTGGCTCTAGTTTTCAGGTAAAAAAAGGTAAGATTCAGGACCGTCATTCAGTCTTATCTTGCCCATCCTCGGAGACCCAGGGGCAGATAGTGGGGGCAAGGGAAGGTCTAAACAGGCGGAAAAATAAGGCACGAAGAAAAGTAAAGAACGGCGAGGAGAGCCCCTGGGGACAATGTCTTACTAGACCAGTTCTAAACGGTCGCCGCCGTTCTGGCTTCTGATTGGTGCCAGAAAAACACAAGTTTTCTGGTACCAATCGGAAGCCAGAACGGCGGCGATCGTTTGGAACTGGTCCGGTAAGACATTGTCCCCAGGGGCTCTTCTCGCCGTTCTTTACTTTCTTTTGTGCCATATTTTCCCGCCTGTTTAGACTTTCCCTCGCCCCCACTATCTGCCCCTGGGTCTCCGAGGATGTATCTTGCCATAAATTGCATACTTCTTTTAGACCTGTCAAAATTTATTTCCTTTCTTGTCACTTTTAGAACCTAAACTCTTTGACGATTTCAATAAGTCACTGCCTCCAGAAGATCTGGCAAATGACTTCCACACCTTACGGGAAATTCTCAAGAGTAGCCCTCAGTTTGGAAATTTTCTAGTTGGCCCTGATGTTACCCGGATTCATGAGAACTCCAAAAGTGCAAGCTACCTTCAAAGGTAATTGAGTCAGTACACCTTAGACTGGTTAGGGTCCTAATAAAGATGAGTAGATCAGAGATCCTTATCTTTGATTAACTAATCGAGCTTATAGAAGACACTTAGATCTATAACAGAAGAGTCTTCCTGAAACAGGTGAAATAACATTACTCCAAAAATTGTATTGAGTGACTTATCAACCAAGTACATCCGCAGATTTGGGGTGGTCTACTAAAAGAAATTGAGTGTCAACTGTATTTAGCACGAAAGTACTGATTGGAGACACTATTTTTACGTCTCCTACTGGAGATGGACCGCCATTTTACGTGGTCATCCGAGCCACGCGAAGGTCTAGCCATTTGCGGGCCAAAGGCAGTACCTTCATTTGTCAGTTATTTTAAGACCCTGACTGAGTTTTGGTCCAGCCCCGGGAATCGGAACCGCGACCTCCCACTCTACAATCAAGCGCTCTACCGACTGAGTGAAAGTGAGGGTACTGGCGCCAGAAGGAGAGTTCTTCTATCTGCTTTGGTACCCCGAAACTGGCAAAAATTCTAGTACGTTTAGATAACAACGAAAAAGAGATGATCTTAGTCTTGTCAGAGCTGGTCGTGAAAATGGCGATCGAGGGCAAAGAAATCAGAGCTACACGCGGAGCAGAGTTATACTCTGCTATCCATCTGCGACAGTAAGGAATAAACTGTCACCCCTCTTAGCATGAAGAAGCAGACACGAGAATGATAGTTCATGTAGCTGATGCAGTAGAAAATTGTCAACAACAACTAGACCCGCATATCTCTTTGGAAAGGTCTCCCTGTCACGGCTTCTATGCCGTAACAGGATGCGATATAACACCTGTCCCTATGGTCACGCTGATCAGAACAGCCTGGACGGCATGGAACAACTTTCCAGATGTAAGCACGTTACGTTTCTCGAGCTGGCCAGGATTCCCCCTGCTATTTCCGAGGAGAATTATTCAGCCATAGAGAGATATATAGAGTATAAAAAGTATGGGAGGAAAAAGATGTACAAGGATGGGGTGGCTGAAAGTAGCTACGACACTCTTTATATTATACATTTATTATCTATTTTCCATTTCATTCTTTTCCACTGTTTAGTTTTGTCTCGGGTGCTAAAGATGTCATAGACGCAGTCACGTGGCACCAGTAAGTGTTGCATTGTTTGCTACTAGGCGGCTTTCTGTTACATTTATTTTAATTTTTCCCCCCGGGTTTACAGTGTAAAGCGCATCGTCTGTGAAATCATGCCACACATTCCAACCAATTTTGCCACGCAAATTTACCAATCAGAGACTGACTTGCTTTACAAGAGGGACTGGTACTTCTACTCAGTTACTTTTTTATAATATATTCCAATTTTAAAGTCTCTAGTCTTGTAGACTAAAAGGAAAACAAGGATGTGGTAGAAAGTAGATCACAAAATAGCCGGTTTCTTTCTCAAATCGCTCCTAGCAAAGTGCAAAGCGCCGAAAGGATAGAATCGGATTCGACGCTCACTTGCCCACGACCGGTCTCTTTTTCCGATTTCACTTCTTGCTTTTATCGGTCTCGTTCCAGACCTTTCGTTTGACAATTTCTCGTAACTTGGCTAACTCAAAAATTAATTTTTTTGTGTGGTTCAAGTGGAAATAGGAATCTGCATGTTTTGAAGTTCCCCTGGGTGTAATTAGAAGGATACTCACTATATACCGTCAAATGTGTCACGCCTGTGTTTTTAGGTACTACCTCGATAAAAGAAATTGCACTGAGAAGGATTTTTATAATCCAAATGTACTGGACAAATTCCTGCGTGAGCTGGAGGCAGCCAATGATGTCTTGGATAAAACAGCTCCAGGCATACCAAGGTGGATGGGGGAGACTGGTAGTGCTTTTGGCGGGGGAGCTCCTGGATTGTCTGACAGATATGTTGCAGGCTTTATGTAAGTGGGCTTCTAGTAATTTGTAGTATGTTCTGCCCTAAAGTCAGTGCGTATGTTTGAGAAAAACCTGAAAATGACGGTTTTCTTTCTTAAGTCAGGAAGGACCTTACGAACCTACGAAGGCGACGACAACGTCAGAAAAAAGTAATAAATTTAATGAGCAAAACAACAACTCTGCACGTTCATTACGCTTTTTTGTCAATTTCTTAGCCGTCACCGCTTAACTACGACCTGAAATAACCAAATTTAAAGTTTCCTTAGGAACCGGAAAGGCAAGGTGATAAATTCTACCTCCTCTGTCGGAACTTGCATGGACACGGTCCCCTCTCTTCAGCTCCAACCTCAATTCCATTCTTTTAAGTAACAGGGCGACTTGGAATAATTGCCAAATAGTTTGAAAGGATGCGGGTTTACCATGTCAATAAGGACTGAGGTTTAGGATTATTTCCACCAGCTATTATACGCTCGAATCTCAGCTACTTTCAGCTACTGGGGTAGTCAAAAGGAAAGATTGACCATCCCAGGGAGATTCGAATCGTGGGCTACCCTTTACATTTCCGTTTCAAAGATTTAGGTGCCATACAGCTCTCCGTACTTTTAATGCAATGATATATTTTTCTTCTCAATCCTGGGAAAGACTCAGTTTGAATACGTCTCTTACAATTACTTAGCGGAAAATGAACACCAAATTACGTACTAAGGATGAAAGGGTCATGAGGATTGAAAACGTGAAAATCAATGTGTAACCTTCTCTTCCAAACTGACCCTGATTCCCAAGTGCAAATCAACCATTTCTTTCTTTTTATGGATACATTATTGTCTCGTATTTTAGCTATACTTTTGGCATGGCTCCTGTGTACCCCATTAATGTAAATATTATTATGCTTTTCAGGTGGCTTGACAAATTAGGACTCGCTGCTCGACTGGGCCATGAAGTTGTTATTCGACAATCGTTTGTTAAAGGAAGCTATGCTTTACTTGATGAAGATTTGAATCCAAATCCTGTAATTACATGTACATATTTTGGTTAAGTTAAGTAACATATTTTCACATTAACTGTCTGATGACCCGCACCTACTTTTTATTGTTCCTTCCGTTTTGCGAAGGATCTAATAGCCTGCGTAGATGGCGGTATTGTGTGGGTGCGAGATTAAAGTTTTGGCGGCGGAGCCGTGTTCCAATAAAAGGGAGTAGGGACGAGGCGGTTTCTCGCGGTTCCGCCGCCAAATCTCACTAGACTACTACACAATACCGCCAGCTACGAAGGCTAAGGATCTAATTCATCGCCCTGTAGGCAGGCTTCCCATCAAGAGATCAGTTATGAGACCTTTCTAAAGGGACAGTATTACGAGAATTCAGTCTCCTAGGTTTTTGTGATAATTGCCCTACAATTATGAATATACCCTCGCTTAAAATGGCTTTCATGAACAACAAGAAAAAAAGGAATAACTCGCGCTTATAAGTCTTTGGCAACTGCTCATCTACTCATCAACTCAACTTTTGCTTCAGTTTGGTGCGTGGTAAGTACATAAGGAGTATAAAACAAGTTACGTTTCTTTTTGGAGTGAGAGCTTCGATCCCATTATTTGCTACACTAGAAGGTAAGTTGCACAAACTGGACCGATCTGGTTGGTTAGATGCCACGAAAACGCCATAATTTCTTTTACATACGTCGATCCTCTTGTTTGAAGCATCTCAGTGGATCCCCGGGGGGGGGGGGGTACTTGCCATGGATTAATTTCTGCTGGGTATGTGCCGCTGGCCTCTCAGAGTGCCTACCCCATTATGGTCTATTCTGTGGCCAATTATAGACCCCACCTCAGTCACCTTTGGGAAAATATGTAATTTTCTTGATCCCAATTTAGTCACTTTCTACTTTTATTAATTGACCCATTTTTTAGATTGAACGAAGAACACTTTACTTTTCGTCTGCGGTACAAACATTCTGTTACGTTTGCTAACCGTAAATATGAAGAACTGTCCTACTTCAAAAAATCCGATAATGTGCGACCCCATTTTAGTAACTTTATTGAAAATGCGACCCCAATATGGTCGATACGGTCGTGAAAATGCGACCCCATCCAGCGGCACCTCCCCATTAGCCTCTTATAGGAAGTACCCTCCCCCCCCAGGATCTGAACTGACGTTTATGGTTAACAATGCAAATCTGTTTATGATCTCAGCATTTTTTCGCTTTCTTACGTATGTTGTAGGATTATTGGTTGTCTTTGTTATATAAGAGGCTTGTTGGGTTGAAAGTCCTAGAAGTAGAACGTGGGACAAAAGAGAAGCGAAAGACCCGTGTATACGCTCACTGTGCTAACAGGTATAAAACACGTTAAAAAAATATTTCCATTGTTTTTAGATAAATGATTTAAGCAGGAAAAAAGCTCTTAGTTTTCTGACCAACACTCCTTATGTGAGACGCATGTTACTACACTTATGTCTGGCCTTAAAAGGCCACACTTGCTATAAGAACAGTAATTTCAGAATTTTAATTGCTTCAGGAAATATCCTGTTGGAGCTGTCACCCTTCTTGTTCTGAATGTTCACGATCATGATCCAGTTAGCCTTAAACTTACTGGTAGCCTCAAAGGAAAAGATGTGGAAGAGTATCTTCTAAGGACGGAAAACAGTGACCTCACGTCGAAGTAAGTAAAACGTCTAAATGACTGTTTATTGTAATTGAGCTTTATTTGTGTTCATGAAGTCGGGATCATTGCCTAAGGTGTGGAAATCCCGGCCATTATAGACATAGAGGCATACCCAGTCAAGTCTCGCTTAATGGGAATGTTTATATAGAGAAATAAGACGGACGCCTTTCTAAAAGGACAGCTAGAGTTGGTCTGAAGATGACTACCGCACAGGTTGTCAAAACGTCAGCCACTATCAGCAACAGTCCTTTTCTAGCCGTAGTTGTATGTTCAAAGAATGAGTCATACGCTATCCAGCAGATCCAGTGGATGATGCAGTTGGTTTCCCCAATACCAATCCGCTGGATACTGATCTATCTGGTGGATAACGCTTGAGCTTTTGAACGACTGGGGCCAGTATTGCACTCATCCAGACATCATATCTTATTCCGCGAATTAGTAAGGACCTATAGAGTTGGCCATTGTCGCTAATTTTTCAGGTCTCTTTGACGCTCTTCAAGGCGGACACCTCCCAAAAACGGATACTTAGTGTCGGTCCTATTGCTGTCTATCTTAAGGTTGATTTCCATTGTCGCGTTCTAATTTTTTACTTGCGCACGCGCGTTAATAGAACAGAGACAATGTATGGAAGGTCACGCGTAAACGTAAAAGTTGGACCTCGCTCAACTTTCACGTTTACCGGGGGCCTTTCATACATTGCCTCTATTTCATTTACGCATGTAAATTTTACGTGCGATCGTACGGAAAAATGCGCGAGAGTGGAAATCAACCCTTAAGGCTGATTGATACTGAGGCGTTTTGGCTACGCAAGTTAGCGCACGTTATCTTTAATAGAGGCGAGACATAAAGTGTTGAGATTAAACGTTAAGTTAAACGAGGTTCTACTTTTACGCTTACGTGCGGCCTTTGATACATTGCCTGTATTTTATTTGCGAACGTAAATTTTACGCGCTTACGCACGTAAAAATTACGCGACAGTGGAAATCAACCCTCGGAGAGAACTGGCTGCAAAGTAACACACAAAGTATTATAGAGTATACATGATGTAACTAACGCGTCCAAATTGTCACAAAGATAGGTAAGGAAAACGGGATTTCAATAACGAAAGCCTGTCCTTCTACAGGGCTCATTTAAGGTTGCCTTTAATTTTGTTAACAGGACAGTGAGACTGAATGGAAAAGTGCTTAAACTTGTGGATGACCACACCTTTCCCGATCTTAATGCTGTGGTTGTACCAGGAGATAAACCCCTCATTCTTCCACCTATGACGTTTGGGTTCTACGTCATCCCAGGAGCTTCTGCCAGTGGATGCAGTTAATGTCACTTATTGGAAGCGGACAGTTTATTTGACAAATGTAAACTATAGATTAAACTTTCATTGACCATGGATACATGTTAACGAATGGGATCCGCAGGCAACCAAAACAACACAGTTTCACTGGAAGTGGCACTCAGTGAAACGTTATGCTGGTTAATCAGTTCATCGTGGACACAGCCTAGAAGTGAAAAGAAAAACAAACAGCAACAACAACAACAACAACAACAAAAACAGTCATCCTCTGGTTTCTAAGCTTTTGGTCATTCAATTTGTCAAATTACGAAGAGTTTGTCTCTGGCTTTTTTTGACAGAGTTTAACACGTACGATTATAATAATAATAATAATAATAATAATAATAATAATAATAATAATAATAATAATATTTAATACTTATATTGCGCTTTTTCTATAAAAATACTCAAAAGCGCATTACAACATTATTATGGGTCTTTTTGCTCAGTTCTACACAGCACTGACCGTTTGCTGAAGAGGGACCCTGCACGAAGGACTTCAACGTGTCCAAATAAACTGTTAACCCTTAAACCCTAAGATCAAAATTTGAATTCTCGTGTGTTGCCCCTATTCATTTCCTACAGAAGTAGTGGGGAGAAGTTGATAAGATATCAAACAAATTCACCTTGGGTGATAATATCTGTAATTCTCATGACCACTCTGTTTTTACAAAGCATTGATATTACAAGGAGAAATTTGATACTGATCACTCTTAGGGCTTAAGGGGTTAAGCTTGATGTTTGTCGCAACGTTTGCGGATGAAATTCGAAAGATGTTGAGTAGCAAGTTTCACGCGTTCGTTAGTAAGCGCAAGGTGGTCAGAGACCTGTGAATAAGGTGGAGGACTTGAAGACGAAACGTCTTTCTTCTGATATGTGTTGTTGTCGACTTGCTAAGGGCGATGTTACACCCACGGAAAGATATTTCAGTTGCAACAAAGATTGTTAGCACAACACAACATTGTAAGTCGGCCCTGCACGTCTGTTTTGGTCAGTGGTTCAAACTTTAAAACGCAATTTTTGCGCGGGAAATTGATTTGTTGTATAGTTTTTATGTTGTAAGTTTTTGAACCAGCTTGCAATACCGACTTGAAACCCTGTGCTGCTCTACAATCGTCGTCATAGTCCAGTCAAAAGCGTCTCGTAAACACCGCCACCTAGACCTCTATTTGTCTTATTATCTATCAAATCGTGCGAGACTTGTCTTTGCTCTGTTTTTTTTTTCGGTTATTGAAGAAGAAAAAAATAAGGTTAATAACTCAAGGTAAAATAGACTGATCAAGGAAATCTATTTTGGAGTTTTGTTTGTAGTTTGGTCGTTTCAAGTTGCGTAATTATAAGCAGCAACGCCCTGATGCTGCTGTTGTTTGAGTGGCAAGAACAAAGCAGGTGCTCATGCGTGATTTGGTTTTGTTATTTTAGACACGAAATACTGATAAGGTCTTTTTATATATCTGAATTCTTTGGATAGTATGATTGTTACGTCGTATGCTAAATTTTCTCTTCTACGGCTATACTATTTTTGATAAAGAGGTTAGTTTCTAAAGAAACTCATTTTATTGCGTCGGTGTGAAACGCAAAAGTTTGGTCTGTGTATTTGTTTTATTGCCAGACTTGACCACCGGCCAGAGATTATTAGGCTTGTACTTTTAAAGCTCATTTCATAAAACCAATTTGCGTATATTGGTCTTATGTTGTTGTTTTTTGTTCTCTTCAGCGTGACTTGAATGAGGGACGTGATATATTAAGTCGGATATGACGTTCCAGCCGAATGTATCGATATCTCGGATATTTTGCTTTTCTTGCACGTAAACTATATAAACCTCCTGCTGAAAGTCTTACCTCACCATTCATTAAAAAAAAAAAAAATTGATTATTTGACTTCCAGATACTAAGTTGTGTTCGGCTGATGTGCAAAATCTATAACTGATAAGAAGGTATACCGTATAGTTATTTTCAGACATGAGCTTGCTTACTTCCCTTCCTCATTTTTTAAAATATTTTATTATGAAACAATATATACACGCACATTCAAAAACGTACTAAAATGGTATCATTACGTAGCTTTCCTTTTCGTCGCTAAACTGAATGTACGATCTGCCTGGGAACAACTTATACTAAATCGGATGAATTGCAGCAGAAAAAGAAACAAAAAACGGGCTAGTTGCTTAAAAATCCTTATACTGCTTATAGTTTTATTGTTTAGTTGTTAACTAGAGTAAGTTATCTCACAACTTACTTTAATTAACTCAACTGGAAACTTGAATTTAAAGCCATCAGTATTCTCTGTCAATTATACAGTGTATGCCACCGAAAAGATTGTTCCAATTTTCTGGCGAAGACATACTAGAAAAAAAGATAGAAACAACTACTTGCAAGCGAAAAAAGTTTAAATAAAATTTTGTTCGAATTTCATCAGCGGTGTAAAATGAGATTCACGTTACTGTAACAGAAATTAAAGTTGTCTCGTGTTCCCAAGAGAGAGTTGTAAATGGCCAGGAGGTCTAGTCCCTCATCCCTATTCAAATACGGGTTTCCTTTGTTTGATAGCTTTGGTCAATGATGGTGTGATTTTCGTCAGTTAAAACTTCATCATTTTTTGGCCTAACGTTATGACCCGTTGCCCAGCATTGCTCAAAAACGGCAAATAATCAGGTTTTACGGGATTGCTGTAGTTCCTTGATCTAAGGGATCTGGCGGTCTCATGAGTCATAAAACAAGTGACTTGCTTCTTTCCTCAGTCACTGTGTTTACACTAGTAATTGTTCCTTTCTTTAGTCGTTGTGTTTACACTAGCGCCTCTTCTTGTTGATTCGTGGAAGATGTGTTTGCGGATTGAGACACAGTCGCATTAACGTCATATGATCCTCGCCTTGGAGTGTGCCATCTCAGGAGTCTTTTTAATACAACCTTAAGATTTCCACCAAAGTACCCATAAAGCAACGGATCTAATGCAGCATTTAGGCATATCAGAAGTTGGGATGCCCTCCAGACGAGATCGGGGGAAGCTAAGTGAAAGTAAATTAGTGTTCGTGTGATCATGAATGGAGACCAGCAAATAACAAAAGCTATAGTTAAAGCTGCGAGTGTTTTGGCAACTTTCTTGTGTTTTCGATTTGACGCTTCACTGGAAGAGCTTTGTCTTGGCATTGCTCTATCTCGAAGCGCGCGGTAAATACGGGTTTGCGTTACTATCATATATAACAACGGGAGAACAAAGAAGAAAGCTCCGTGTAAACTATAGTATATTTGTCGGCCTTTATTCCCCCATGATGTATTAACGCAAACAATGTTTCCTTTGTCACGTATTTCGACGCGGTAGATGAAGATCAAAGGTGAACAAACAGCGAAGCACAAGATCCAGATTAGTGCCAATGTTGCGTATATTTTCTGTGACATATCCTTATTTCTTGCATTGAAATCCAAAGGGTTAGCCACGGCCCTTAGTCTCTGATAACTAATTACCACAAGGGTACTGATGGAAGTCGTGTAGGTTGCCTCGATGACAAATCCCTGAAGTTTACAAGTATTGTCACCGCCTACCCACTTCCAGAAAAAGCCAATGATGTTGAAAATTGTAAGAAATATGAATACGAGATCCGCACAAGCTAAATTTGCCACAAACCACGTAAAAGTGTGATATTTTTTCTTCCTGATTGTCTTGTAACAGTTTCTTATGACCCAAGTATTACCAACAATTGCCAAGATGAAAACAGTGCTGTAAAATATACAAAGGAAGACTATTATGGCGAGCGGGAAACCGTCGCTATCAGCCATGGCTCATCAGTAACAAACGCGACAGCGTTCTAGAATGAGCAGTGTTCGTGCTGAAATCACGATGAATAACGTGTTTTTGAGAGTCGTATATCGTTGACGTGTTTCCGGAAAGAGTAACAACACGATATTGCAATCTATTTTGATTTCTGAAGGTTAATAATACTCATTGTTCCAATATAAGCTGGTTTGAAAGAAGCTTAACTTAAAACGATATTTAAAGTTGAAAATTAAGTAAAAACAAATGGAAATTTAACCTGTTAAGTAAAAACAATTTGAAATTTAACCTGTTAGACTTAGGATCATTAATTAAAAGAATATTCGTAGTCTTAATTTAATTCAGGCTATTGGGTCGCTATTTAACACATAAATACGTTTTTAACTAATTGCCACAAAGATAGGGTGGACGAAGATCGCGTTGTCTAAGGGGCACCCAGCGTCAATTTTTGGAAAATATCTGTTCGGAAGACGATTTGAGATCTAGAATTTTCGGAACATTTTCGTAAAATTTCTAGCTTGCCTGCCTCTCCTAGGATTTTCGAACGTCTAAAAAATGGTATAATTGCCCATTTTTAATGGATTCTTACCCTTAAAAGGTCACCTAGAATTTTCGGGAGCCTTTTTTCTGGCTGAAATTTTCGAAAAGGTACGTCTTGATCGCTATAATTTTCGAATCACCCGACTTTCAGCTAGGAAATCCGAACAGATAAAAAATGTTTAGGGGATAAAAATATGCCTTTATCTACCGTTTAAATACTGAAATACGTTTTACAATGTTTTGAACCATATTCTCGTTGGGTGCCCCTGTTGTCTTCTGTGCTATCAGTAGTACGAACTGTTAAAATTATGCAACCACAACGACGACGGCAGTCAGCAAACCTGTCTCCTGAACAAATGAATTTGGGTTCTTTCAAACTCTAGATCCTCCATATCCTCTATTGCCAAGTGAAATTGGATTCTTATTGACTCCATCCCATCCTCGGAGACCCAGGGGCAGTCAGTCGGGTCGGGAGAAAGGGCGCGACGAAAGTTTTCAAGTACGGGCAAAAGAGCCCCTGGGTACCGACTCTCACCGAACTATTTCCAAAATTCAAGCGGATGCCGGCTCCTGATTGGGCACAAAAAATGCTTTGTGAATTGTGTCCAATCGGCGAACAGTTTCTCCTGAGTTCTTTTCGTGAGTTCGTACACGACAGCTTTTGTTTCGATCACGGCTTGTCTGGCTCGTGCACCAAAGAAATGCAAGCAGTCAGGAAACTTTCAGTTTGATATAAAATCCCCATCTTATTTCAAAATACTGTCTGCCCGAAGACTAAAGACGCTTTTCCAAAAATACAAGCTTGAGCTTACAACAGGTATTCACGCTTGCATCGGTCACGTCTTGCGGAAATATTAGGGAATTTTTAAAAGATACTACGACGACTGACAACCACGAGAGCGTCGCATGGAAAAGGGAATTCACATTTTTTCAGTTTTTATCGTGATTATTCCAACTCGCTTACTTTGTCAAGGCAAGCGAACTCTTCTGGAGCTGAATTTCTATCAACATATCCAAGTTCATGAAGAGAATGAATTTTGTCATTGCTTGTTTACGTCCTTCACAAAACATGAAATTAGGCATTTTCACGGGTAGTCGTGCAGTTGACGGCAACGAAATGTACAAAAAAGTGTGATGCACGTGCAAAGTTGTTGTTTTGCCTTGTCAAGCTATTCCTTATTTACCTTTCTCGTCGTCGCCGCCGCATCTTTATTTTCCTTGTATTATTTACGATACATTTGTGATGAGTCAAAAACAGAATATTCTCGGGGCAAATGGAATTGCTCCTGCTGATAGCATCCCAAACGTTTTTTCGACTCATCGGTAGTTCCTTCAGTTTCTGGTTAGGAAAGTAGAAAAAAAAGTTTCCCTTGCTCGCACAAGCTTGGTGAACGAACCGGGCGAGTGTCGCAGGACAATAGCCGTTGTGTACGAACTCACGAAAAGAACTTAGGAGAAACTGTTCGCCGATTGGGCACAATAATACAAAAAACTTCCGTCCCGCCTTTTCTCCCGACCCGACTCAGTGCCCCTGGGTCTCCGAGGATGACTCCATCCAAGTTCGAAAAGAAAGCGAAACATTCAGTTTTACGTCGCAATAGCAAATTTCACGTCGGGGTCTTGTGGTTGACGTCTAAGAAATGTACCAAAAAGCGTGATGCACGTGCAATGCTGTTGTTTTGCCAAATAAATAAAAACAATTGTTCTTATGAGGTTATCGTTGCCGTCGTCCTAGGCATTGTTACTTAAGCTTCCTAGTGTTTCTCTTTTAGACTCGGCAGATAATAATAGTAATAATAATGGTTTAATAATAGTTTATTAACAGATCCACTGGGTGGCTCTTCATTGTTAAAGTACATCAATTATGATTAAAAAATAAATAAATAAATAAAGTTATTTACAAATTATGCAATATACAATCAAAAGTAGAAGCAGGATTAACAGAATCGAACTTGCAGTAAAAATGCATCGACGATGAATATGGTTACTCTATCGGTCAGTTGCCTCTACCAGTAAACAATTGTGTTGAATTTCAGGCCTTGAAGAAGTGTTTCATGATCAGTTTCCCTATCAAACAGTTGGTTGAGTTACTCTTTTGTGAGAACAAGTATCTCTTGACAAGAGAGTTTTCAGCCTGGGACCGAATTCAAGAAGTCATCTTTTCTAAGCTGAGATGAGCCCTTAAGTATTGTCTCAAAACAAAAGGCTTTTGTTAAGAAATAATACCTCCAGAAGAAAATGCTTGATTTTATAGTTGAGTTTTAACAATCCACGATTTACCTTCAACATCTGTCAACTCCATTTTAATTTCCGCCTCATGATCCCTGTTGCGTTGTAGTCGTCTGAGGTAATTAACACTCTTAAAGAGCGTCATATCACTCCTTTGTTTGTTTAAAAGAGAATGTAGTTAACAACTATTAATTTTCTTTAGATTAAAAAAACAAAAAATTGAAAGTTATGCAAAGTTGAAAGGACAGTTAACCAAATTACAGTAAAAATAAGACAACTTTTACAGGTTATCACTTTAAACGCGAACATTTTAATAGGCCGGAGTATGAATTGTTTTCCGTTTCCATTCTGCATCTTAATCATTTCTTAACTTGCAATATCCTAATCTGAACAGTTTGCATGCCGCGTACTACCGTATAGTACTCTATTTTCCTTCACGTTTTATTAATTCATTTTTTATTAACACCAGGAAGATAGTTACACGACCCCACAAATATGTATTGACTTCGCTATAAGTATTTTCTAAACTAAATAAAAAATGTGTTCAATGTATGTAGTACATACCATTTTCATAGACTGCGAGCAAGCTCTCCATGTCAAGTGGCGAGTGAAGCCAGCCGCGGTGGGCGTGACGCTAACGCCTAACATCTAACCCAGTTGGAGAGCTTGCTAGCCTCGATTGTTCAAACGTTGGATAGCGCTATCCATCGCATAAATCACTATCCACTGGATAGCGCAATTGGTTTTCCTATTTCTTATCCACTGAAATAGTGATTTATCCCGTGGATAGCCCTATCCCAGGCCCTATCCAACGTTGAACAACTAGGGCCTGAAATGCCAGCTACCTTCTCCTCGCGCCAACCCCCCAACACTGGGTTGCCAGACGAGAGAGACGCCAGGCCGCGTTGGGCGGGGGCGGTGTGGAACGTAAGAGGCGCCTAACATTTTAGACAAAAAGGCTGCCGGCAGGCTTTCATGTTGAACGTTCACAGTACTGATCTAGACTTTGATTGCTCGATGTGTTTGGTGTGTTTGCTTGAATCACAGTCATGCTAGTAACATCATGTTCCCGTTGCCGTGATAAATGGCACCTCAGAACTCTTCGTAATACAGTTTTGAGATTTCCTCCATAGTAGCCGTATAACAAGGGATCCAAAGCAGGGTTGACGCATATTAGAAGTTGAGATGCTCTCCAAGCAACATCAGGTGACGCCAAATGGAAGTAAATTAGTGTTCTTGTGATCATAAATGGAGACCAGCAAATAACAAAAGCTATAGTTAAAGCTGCAAGAGTTTTGGCAACTTTCTTGTGTTTTTGATTTGACTCTTCGCGGGAATAGCTGTGTCTTGGCATTGCTCTATCTCGAAGGACGCGGTAAATCAGGGTTTGTGTGACTATCATATATAACAACGGGAGAACAAAGAAGAAAGCTCCATGTAAACAATAGTATATTTGTCGTCCTTTATTTCCCCATGATGTATTAACGCAAACAACGTCTCCGTTTTCGAGTGTTTCCACGCGGTAGATGAAGATCAAAGGTGAACAAACAGCGAAGCACAAGATCCAGATTAGTGCCAATGTTGCGTATATTTTCTGTGACATGTCCTTATTTCTTGCATTGAAGTCGAACGGGTCGGCCACGGCCCTTAGTCTCTGATAACTAATTACTACAAGGGTACTGATGGAAGTTGTGTAGGTTGCCTCGATGACAAATCCCTGAAGTTTACAAGTATTGTCACCGCCTACCCACTTCCAGAAAAAGCCAATGATGTTGAAAATTGTAAGAAATATGAATACGAGATCCGCACAAGCTAAATTTGCCACAAACCACGTAAAAGTGTGATATTTTTTCTTCCTGATTGTCTTGTAACAGTTTCTTATGACCCAAGTATTACCAACAATTGCCATGATGAAAACAGTGCCGTAAAATATACAAAGGAAGACTATTATGGCGAGCGGGAAAACGTCGCTATCAGCCATGGCTCATCAGTAACAAACGCGACAGTGTTCTAGAATGAACAGTGGTCGCACTGAAATCATGATGAAAAACGTGTTTTTGAGAGTCGTATATCGTTGACGTGTTTCCGGAAAGACTAACAACACAATATTGCAATCTATTTTGATTTCTGAAGGCTAATAATACTCGAAGTTTCAATATAAGCTGGTTTGAAAGAAGCTTAACTTAAAACGATATTTAAACTTTAAAATTAAGTAAAAACAAATGGAAATTTAACCTGTCAAGTAAAAGCAATTTGAAACTTAACCTGTTAGACTTGGGATCATTAATTAAAAGAGTTTTAGTAGTCTTCATTTAATTCAGGCTATTTAACACACAAATACGTTTTTAACTAATTGCCACAAAGATAGGGGGGAGGAAGATCGCGTTGTGTAAGGGGCAGCCAACGTTAATTTTTGGAAATATCTGTTCGGAAGACGGTTTGAGATAAGAATTTTCGGCACATTTGTTGTAAAATTTCTTGCTTGCCTGCTCCTCTTTTCGAATATCTAAAAATGATATAATTGCCCATTTTTAATGGATTTTTTACCTTAAGAAAGGCAATTTAGAATTTTCGCGGGAACCTTTTTTCTGGCTGAAATTTTTCGAAAAGGTACGTTTTGATCGCTATAATTTTCGAATCACCAGGAAAAATTTGAAAAACTTTAAGGGGATAATAATATGCCTATATCTACCGTTTAAATACTAAAATTAAATACGTTTAACAATGCTATTTTTAAGTCAGCAAACCGGTCTCCTGAATAAATGAATTTGCGTTCTTTCAAACTCTAGATCTTCCATCCTCTATTGCCAAGTGAAATTGGATTCTTATGAATTCCATCCAAGTTCAAAAAGAAAGCGAATCATTCGTCGTCGTGTGTTCACATCGTCAATTTTACGTCGCAATAGCAAATTTTACGTTGGGGTCTTGTGGTTGACGTCTAAGAAATATACCAAAATTAAAAGCGTGATGCAAGTGCAATGCTGTTCTTTTGCCACATGAATAAAAACAATTGTTCTTATGACGTTATCGTTGCCGTCGTCCTAAGCATGGTTCAAGATCCCTAGTGTTTCTCTTTTAGACTCGGCAGATAATAATAATAATAATAATAATAATAATAATAATAGTAACAATAATAATAATAATAATAATAATAATAGAAAACAACAACAATAATAATAATAATAATTAACAATTAATGAATGAGCCTGAGCATCCTCGGAGACCCAGGGGCAGATAGTGGGAGCGAGGGAAAGTCTAAACAGGCGGAAAAATATGGCACATAAGAAAAGTAAAGAACAGCGAGAAGAGCCCCTGGGGACAATGTGTTACCAGACCAGCTCCAAACGGTCGCCGCCGTTCTGGCCTCTGATTGGTGCCAGGAAACTTGTGTTTTTATCTTATGAATCGCCCCATGTAAGGGAATCCATGACAGTCCTGGATTCTGGATTCCACCCTGTGGATTCCGGATTCCGAGTACTGGATTCCGGATTCCGGCTCAGTGGATTCCGGATTCTAAAAAGGGCTGGATTCCAAAATTTTTTTCTGTTATGATGCTTTTCTTCGCATTTTGTTTTCGTGTTCGAATCTTGCTATATTGAAAGACGTTGTTTAGAATGCATAACAAGTTTGTTTTCTTTTTCGATTTATAAATTATGTGAAGAAATGTATTACTGTTCCGTAAGGGTTTAAGGTATGATAATGAGGAGGACATGGACTGTCCACACCGCAACACCACGGAAAAAATAACAAACATCGCGTCACCGCAAATTTAAATTTTGTCCTTCGATTAATCTAGTCCAAATCTCCATATGATTAGGGATCTCGGATCTCGGAGCTGGTTTAGTGATTAGTAGAGAGTGAGACTGACCCCAACACTCTATTTTTCACTTACTCTTTTTTGCGAACTCTATTTTCAGCTATGCAGATAGAAAAATGCTTAATTAGCAGAAACAAAAGAACTCTTGCAAATCATTCCTAAATATCTACGTTTATTCATTTGATTGCTACATAATAAAGTATTGGGAAAAGGTACAGTCATTGCCAGGGAAAATCGAGCTGCAATTTGCAAGAAAACGGCCTAACACAGTTCGTGTATAACTCCAAATCCGGCAATTTTTCCTATGAAAGAGACGTTTTTTTCTTTTATCTTGCTGTTATTTCTTACGCTAATTCAACGTGCAAGGTGAAGAAAGGCGAAGACGTAGACGACTCGTGCCCCCCAAATTTCTTTCATAGCATGATCTATATCCGGTTCTGTCATCAAGACCTTCGCCGATGAGCGTCTATTAGCCTGCGTGGCAGGCGTTCGAAAGGGAAGGGGACGGGAATTTGGGCGCCCCTCGCGTTTCTGTCGCGCCTAAAACTCCCTTTCCAAACTGTTCTCAGCGAAACTACGAGGACCAAATTAGGCACTAGGAGACTGTGAATTTCTTTTTTTTCTTTTTAGGTAAACTGTTTAACGTAGACGTTTATTTTCATTTGTGAACCAGGAGGACCAGGAAGGTTCAAGAAAAGGTTCACCCCAGGTGTACCTTTTCCAGGCCTATGCCAGGTCAAAAAGCTTGCATAAAATCGCTTTTGATTTTTTAAAGTTCAGCGAAGCGAATGAACAACAGAGAATCAAACATAGCCAGAGGTGTGACCGTGACCTCGTGGACACCAGATATGCCGATATCATGTCGTCACGTTCAGGTCTATGCCCTCGGAAGGCTGTCCATAGACTAGCCTCCCCGCAGACGTCCTTTGGGGTTCGTTCGTCACGCATTCATTTTTACCCCACGGATGGTTTTTCTTACGAGCGAGTAGCTCAATTTAATCTGAAGTGGATCTTTATTAAGTTGGATTCCGGATTCCAATCTTTAGTAGGATTCCGGATTCTTAGTGCTGGATTCCGGATTCCAAAGCCCAGGATTCCGGATTCCACGAGCAAAAAATTCCTGGATTCCAGAATCCGGATTCCCTTACATGGGGCGATATGAAGAATTATGGAGATCGAGGAGGGTGTTATCCGTCGAGGCCGTAGGCCGAGGCGGATAACACCCTCCGAGATCTCCATAATTCTTCATATGAAACGAAAGCCGAATTCAATAATTGTTTTATTATTCATTCAAAATAATTCCTAGTTTAAAAACATGGCTAAAACATGCTTACCTCCATCGATGTTAAGTTCATCTTCGATAGTGCACGTTTAGGTTTGTCCAGCTCCCCAAATATTCTTCAAATAGCAGATGACGTCCTTCGAGTTGTCTTTTTGCTGTTCTTGCCATGTTTTTAGCGATTTTTTCGCCTAGCTCTTACTCTGGAAACGAGTGAAACGACCGCCATTTTTGTTTGCACAACCAAAACAACTCAACCTTGTCCCCAGGTCTTCTCGGTTAACGGTGCCATAACCTGCACGAACGCTGCATTTTTGACGTCATTTCCTCGTTAAACACAAAATTCTTCCAAATTTGGTCATCAGTAACTGGTTATGGTGAATTAAACGTGTGCTTTTAGCCAATCAGGATCGGGGAAATATTATGAATGAATAATAATGGTTTATTAACAGGTCCACTGGGTGGCTCTTCCCTGTTAAAGTACACCAATTACAATTGAAAAATAAGTAAATAAACAAATCAATTAAGTTATTTACAAATTATGCAATATAAAATTAAAAGTAGAAGCAGGATTAACAGAAATTACAGTAAAAATGCGTCGATGATGAGTTACTCCATCGGTCAGTTGCCTCTACCAGTAAACAATAGTCCATTTTCGAGTTCGCTATGACCGCTGAATTAAAGAAGTGAAGACGCATTTTTTACAGCCTTAGCCTCAATCTGAAGTAATATATTCACAAATTCTAACACGAAAAAGACATGTTTATTTTTCTGTCTATTGTGTATATTCAAATTTCAAACACTTACTTGCCAGGTTTCTGAATATTTTACTTCACGTCGAGGCTAACCCTGTATGAATGTGTCCCTAATGTTTATATTCAGCGGTAATTTTTAATTCGAAACTGGGCTATTGTGTTGAATTTCAGGACTTGGAGAAGTGTTTCGAGATCAGTTTCCCTATCAAACAGTTGGTTGAGTTACTCTTTTGTGAGAACAAGTACTCTTGACAAGAGTGTTTTCAGCCTGGGGCCGGATTCAAGAAGTCATCTTTTCTAAGCTAAGATGCGCCCTTAAGTATTGTCTCAAAACAAAAGGCTTTTGTTAAGAAATAATACCTCCAGAGGCAAATGCTTGATTTTATAGTTGAGTTTTAACAATCCACGAATTACCTTTTTAAAAAACCTCTGTCAACTCCATTTTAATTTCCGCCCCATGATCCCCGTTGCGTTGTAGTCGTCTGAGGTAATTAACACTCTTTAAGAGCGTCAAGTCACTCCTTTGTTTGTTTAAAAGAAAATGTAGTCAACAGCTATTAATTTTTTTTAGATTAAGAATTCAAAACAAAAATGGAAAGTTATGCAAAGTTGAAAGGACAGTTTACCAAATTACAGGTTATCGCTTTAAACTTGAACATTAGTATGACCTTTTTTCCATTTCCATTCTGCATCCTTATCATTTCTTAACTTGCAATATCCTAATCTGAACAGTTTGAATGCTGCGGACTACCGTATAGTACCCTATTTTTCCTAACGTTTTATTAATTCATTTTTTATTAACACCAGGAAGATAGTTACACGACCCCACAAATATGTATTGACTTCACTATAAGTATTTTCTAAAATAAATAAAAAATGTGTACAATGTATGTAGTACATACCATTTTCATAGACTGCGAGCAAGCTCTCCATGTCAAGTGGCGAGTGGAGCCAGCCGCGGTGGGCGTGACGCTAACGCCTAACATCTAACCCAGTTGGAGAGCTTGCTAGCCTCGATTGTTCAAACGTTGGATAGCGCTATCCATCGCATAAATCACTATCCACTGGATAGCGCAATTGGTTTTCCTATTTCTTACGGCCACTGAAATAGTGATTTATCCCGTGGATAGCCCTATCCCAGCTTGCTGGTGTGGCCTCGATTGTTCAAACGTTGAATAGCGCTATCCACCGGATAAATCACTATCCACTGGATAACGCAATTCGTATCCTATTTCTTATCCACTGGATGGTGATTTATCCCGTGGATAGCCCTATCCCAGGCCCTATCCAACGTTGAACAACCAGGGCCTGACACTACCTTCTCCTCGCCACAACCCCCCACCATTGGACGGTCAGGCGGAGAGACGCCTGGCAGCGTTTGGCGTGGGCGGTGTGGAACGTAAGAGGCGCGTAACATTTAAAAAAAAACGCTGCTGGTAGGCTTTTACGTTGAACGTTCACAGTACTGTCCTAGACTTTGATTGCTCGATATGTTTGCTGTGTCTGCTTGAATCACAGTCATGCTAGTAACATCATGTTCCCGTTGCCGTGATAAATGGCACCTCAGAACTCTTCGTAATACAGTTTTGAGATTTCCACCATAGTAGCCGTATAACAAGGGATCCAAAGCAGGGTTGACGCATATTAGAAGTTGAGATGCTCTCCAAGCAACATCAGGTGACGCCAAATGGAAGTAAATTAGTGTTCTTGTGATCATAAATGGAGACCAGCAAATAACAAAAGCTATAGTTAAAGCTGCAAGAGTTTTGGCAACTTTCTTGTGTTTTTGATTTGACTCTTCGCGGGAATAGCTATGTCTTGGCATTGCTCTATCTCGAAGGACGCGGTAAATACGGGTTTGTGTTACTATCATATATAACAACGGGAGAACAAAGAAGAAAGCTCCATGTAAACAATAGTATATTTGTCGTCCTTTATTTCCCCATGATGTAGTAACGCAAACAACGTCTCCGTTTTCGTGTGTTTCCACGCGGTAGATGAAGATCAAAGGTGAACAAACAGCGAAGCACAAGATCCAGATTAGTGCCAATGTTACATAGTACTTTCTCTGTGAGATCCTCTTATTTCTTGCATTGAAGTCGAACGGGTCGGCCACGGCCTTTAATCTCTGATAACTAATTACCACAAGGGTACTGATGGAAGTCGTGTAGGCTGCCTCGACGAGAAATCCCTGAAGTTTACAAGTGTTGTCACCGCCTACCCACTTCCAGAAAACGCCAATAGTGTTGAAAATTGTAAGAAATATAAACATGAGGTCGGCACAAGCCAAATTTACCACAAGCCACGTAAAAGGGTAATAGTTTTTCTTCCTGATTGTCCTGTAACTGTTTTTTATTACCCATGTATTTCCAACGACTGAAAAAATGAAAACAGTAACGTAAAAGATCCAAAGAAAGATCACAACGGAGAGCGGAAAACCGTCGCTTACAGCCATAGTTCTTCAGCGGTAACGCAACAGTGTTATAGAATGAACAGTCATCCTGTTATTTTTTACTACCGTCGTGTATCGTTGACGTGTCAGTTCCGGTAACTGGCAACTCAATATTTTAAACGATCTAACTGTGACGACTTCCTGAAGCTTATTTTACTCGAAGTTTAAAATCAGCAAGTGCATATAACCTCAAGTAAATACAATATGAGATTTAACTTGATAGACTACTACTTGAAATCATTGATTTAAAATAGTCATTACAGTTTCACCGTAATTTAGGCTATCGAACATATATAAATATATTTTTAATTAATTAAGACAAATATGCCGTATAAATAAAAGCTTGGCGAGGGTTTTCAAACTGAGAAAGAGGGAGAAGTCTAGCGGTGTATGTTAGCCAGCCGACGCAAGGAAGCGTTTTCGGAGTGCCCTGTCAGCATAGCCATGCTCGATTATGTTGTACTCGATTAAAAGACTTGTTTACCATTCTCTTTGTGTCGCTAGGGTACAGCTTCGAATCCAGGCCATATAGCCGTGCGCTTGGTACAGAGGGCTCAGTTGTGACCCGAGGTTTATCAATAAACAGATGCTCGCGCGGGCTGCGGCAACTTCGAAGGATTGACGCAAATCAGGCAGAGCCTTGTTTTCTCCTCCTCATTCACGAAGACAAAAAGTGGCTCTACGAACTCGTGTCACCAAGGGGAGAACTACAGGATCTCCTTATTCAATGGGCCGGGAGATACATGTTCTTTGGAAAAATTATCAAAATTTCTTTAAATCTTCTTAAGTTTTATAATTATCGGAACATTGAAATTTATGCTAGATTTGCTTATCCACCAAAAATTAGGAATTGTCTTTGAAACATCTAAACCAAAAATTGCGTTGTGATATTTTTTGTTTTGAAAGGCCTTTTATTCGAACTGGAGACTATTTACTTTAACACCCTGATTCGATTGGAAGAATATATTAATGACTTTCAGGACTTTGCAAAAAATGACTGACCAAAAAAAAAAATCATGGCCTCTAAATTGTCTCGGTCCATGGTCTCCTGGTTTGATGTCGAAGGAAATCTGCTGTTTGATCATCTGGAAAGAAATGTTTTCTTTGGTTTCAGTTGATTTTTTTCAGTTTGTGCCTATCCACACTAGCCAAGCATAAAGTTGCTTATTGAGACCAATTTTCTTTTATCACCAAATTACTAAAGGTAATCAACCCCTCAAACAGACCTTGCTTCCGTCTGTTTACGGCATTAATCATCTGTCTCAGGTCGATGTGTTTGATTGAAACACAGTCATGCTAGTAACATCATATACCCGTCGCCGTGAAAAACGACCCCTCAGAATTCTTCGCAATACAGATTTTATATTTCCACCATAGTAGCCGTACAGCAAAGGATCCAAAGCAGGATTAACGCATATCAGAAGTTGAGATGCTCTCCAAGCAACATCAACTGAAGGCAAATGAAAGAAAAGTAGGGTTCGTGTGATCATAAAAGGTGACCAACATATTGCGAACGCTATAGTTAGAGCTGCAAGTGTTCGGGCAACTTTCCTGTGTCTTAGTTTGATTTCTTCAGCTAAACTGCTGCGTATAGGCACGCCTCTTGGCTGAAGAGCGCTATGAATGTTTGTCTGTGTGACAATCATATATAATAAAGGTAAGACGAAGAAAAGTGTCCCATGCAAACTGTAATATATTTGTCGGCCAGTATCCCCCCATGTTGTTGTTACACAGACTATGTCGCCATTTATTTGTGTTTCCACGCGATATATGAAGAACAAAGGTGAACAAACAGAAAAGCACAGGCCCCAAATTATGGCCAGTTTCATGTATTTCATTCGAGCCCAGCAACTAAATTTAGCCTTAAAGGGGTGAATCACAGCCTTCAGTCTCTGATAACTTATGACAACAAGCGTTGAGATGGAAGTTGTGTAGGTTGCCTCGACAAGAAACCCATGAAATTTGCAAATGCTATCACCTCCTGGCCAACGCCAATGAAAGCTGATAGTATTGAAAATTGTGAGAGAAGTGAAAACAAGATCAGCGAACGCCAGATTCGCCACGAGCCACGTAAAATGATTATGCGGTCTTCTTTGCTTGATTGTTGCGTAGAATGTGACCGCGATGATCCATAAGTTACCAACAAAAGACATAATGAAAACTGTGATATAAAGTATAATGCTGAAAATCAGTAAGATCGGTGGAAAATCATCCTCTTTAAATGCCATAGTTCATAAGGCAATAGTCGAAGCGGAAGGTTTGCTGCCATTAATTACTGCAAAGAACTGTTAAAAGTATTGATAGCTTTCTTTTTATGTCTTTTATTGTCTATTTGGCATTATTCGAAAGGTACGCTATACAAGTCTGTTCTTTACTTCAAGTGCTATAATAATGCACTGAACCAGAGTCTTTGCTTGCTCCAATTACTGCGAAGAAATAACTTCCCTTTTTAATTTGTTTCTTTTCATTGTGTTTTTGAAGTTATACGGAAGGTGCGCTATACGTCATGTATTATTACTGACAAGAACTGTTCTTTCAGTAATTACTTCAATTGCTTCCGGCCCAGGAAGATCTTGAACCAATCATTAATTAAAATTGAAAAACTGTCGTTAGGTAATAAATAATGATAACGACAGGTGAGTGATTAATTTTAGTTGTTTAACCATCTCTTTTAATAATTTATTCTGACATATCTTATATATACTAATTTAATTAATAGGATGTCAAACGAATCCCATAAGACAAAGTACTGTAATATTTTTTGTGTAATCATCCTCCGCTCAGTTGACCTCCAAAAATACGAAATACCATTTGGTACTGTTTCGGACGAGAAGTCGTTGTTTTAAAAGGTTCCTTTAAAGAAGAGTTTGAACTAGAGGATTAAATTAACACTAAAAAAATACTAATGATATGTTATGAAGAATTTTGCGGCAGATCAAAGACTGGGCATCGTTGCATGGAATACACGGTTATCAAAATGTATTGAACAGTCCGTGAGGACTGACCTCCGATGTTACATTTCGATCTATGATATATCGCTTAGGTTATCGGATCTGGCCGAAACATTTGACATGTTTTAGGACTTGTAGTTGACTGATATGTTAGTGCTATGAAACTTAAATTGATATCACTGGAGGATCTAATACGTTTTTTTGGTATCTTGAAAATAAAACTTTGCTTGCGATCTCGCCTTTCCACTATGCGAGTTATGCGGTAATCTAGTAACAAGCTTCGTTGTTCAAATTTTAGTTTCGACTTTCTTCCAATTGTAAGAGCTGTTGAGAAAACAGTCTTGAGAAAAAGCGACACGTGTCTTTCGACTTTCAAGTATGACGAATACTAGCTAGCTGGCCATTAATCTTCTTGTTCCAAGGCGTAACGGTGAGGTGGGAGGTGAGTGAAAAGTGAAAACACTATTTTTCAAATAATTGCGAACTTACGCAACGGGACTGGAGCGGAAAGAAGACGGCAAACCTAGCGTGACAAAATTTTTCGTTAGAAAACCTTTCCACCGATCTTCACCTTCCTTTAAACAGATCTTTTTGTAAAAAAACAAAAAAAATTAATGATAAGTGAAGATCACGACAAAAACACGCAAGTGATAGCCCTGTCACGTTTGTCACAAAAAAACGCGTTTTGCCGTCCTCTTCTTCCTGCCGTCCGGTTGCGTAAACTCACTATTGACAAATCTGACTTCAATGATAACAGGAGAAATTAAGATTTGCAGTCCAGTAGGTTGACAAATCTGTGGCTTTAATCCTCGGGGTACGTTTTCATAACCCGCTGGCGTTAACCCACTTTTTTGAAAGAGGCAGGCAATATACAATCATTGTCGCTAGTCACTGTGACGTCAACGGATTGTATATTGCCTTGACGTCACGCAAGACAACGACGCAGCGGCTTAGTCAGAAGATTTTTTTCGCATGAGTGCAGGACTGAAAAAACAAATGCAAAGATATGCATAAAATATTACTCGATGAATGTCATCTGTTCTTTGTGGAGTTTTAGCAAGGAACTTAGAAACATCCGTTCATATTCTGACATTGTGATGAGAAAAAGGAAAATGTTTTGAAGAGAGCCACGAGGAGGTAAGGATGTTTAGAACTTAGAAATAAATGATTAACGAAACAGTTATTGATGTTGAATTCGGCTTTCTTTTTATTTATTTAATTTGTTTATTTACCAACTTTTTCGGCACACAGGCCTGCCCAGAGGGAATGTGCACGAACGGGACTCAGGGTCTCATGGAAGGTGCCACACTACCGGGGTCTAAGAGCCCTACGTACTCTTTTCGAATAGTGATGTGGGTTCTTTTACGTCCCACAAGAACAAGAACAACAACAACAACAAAGTTTATTGAAAATTGGAAAATAACTAATTACATTACTTTCCCACCCGCAAATAGCTTATAAACTAATCGAGGCTGAGGGAGCTGAAGACATAAAACAAAACAAGATTTATATATAGATGGACTAAATTACAGTGAAGACACTGCCATACAGTAAATAGAATTTAAACTAACATTAAACAAGGCAAGTACATAACGATTACGAAGAGAGGCTAACCTAAAGTATTAAATAACTTAATAAGATAGGAGACTTCGACATAATCATCTTCTGACCGCAAGAAATTTAGTAATAATTCCTTTTTTTTAAGTATTTTAATCGAATAAGGAATAGAGTTCCAAATCAGTGAAAGTGCTGTGAGACGGGACCTACTGTTTTTCGTCCTTATCCGAGAAGATTATAAATTCTAACCATTTGCAGATCTTATTACCAAGGCAGCACTTTCTTCTCAGTTATTTTAAGACCCTAAGTGTTGGTCCTGCCGGGGTTTGAACCCGCAGCCTCTGAGCTAACCAGGCGGCGGTCATTCTGCATCATTATTCATGATCATACTCAGCCTTCCCATTCAATAATTACTGCTAAATGATATAAAACATATCCCTTGGTGGCGTTTACATCAATCACCAGTCCAATATTTTTGTCATAAAATGCATCGTAATGCTGAAAAAACTGAAATTGTCAAAAACTGAGGCTCTGACCTAATAATTCCGTTTGCGAGACAAATAAAGCAGACTCTAAAAAACAACAACAACAAAAAACTGTGAGTGGGCTGAGCCACACGAGAGGAACAACAGCTCAGACCGTTTTTTTCTGCGTGCCCTACCTTGCTACGCTAGTTTCCTTTTGATTACTATTATAACCTAACTCTTGGATTGATACATTCCTAGAGTTTTAAACTAATGTTAAGACGAAGAAGGGGATAATGTTTGAGACTGCGTCGTTGTAAATGACTGCGACTTAACCGACCGTGACTTCGTGGTTATATCCGAGCCACAAGAAGGTTGTGGTCGTTTGCAAGGCATTTTAGATTCGTTGGGTGGTTGCACGAGTGTTTTCTTCACATAATCGCCATGTCGAAAACAACATATTGAACTGCATCCCCCGTCTCCTTCTTTCGGCATAACTCCTACCCACAAGGGTTGCTTTTTCAACTCTCCCCAATCTTCCTCAGAGATAAAACCACGGTATTACGAACCTAAACAAGTCGCTTTAACTGCTCGCCTAGTAAATTTATGAAATACTCAACAGGACAGTTGCATGATGACGCCATTTTACTATAACTAGTAGAACTATCAGCTTGCTGTTTTCTCGAGCACATTAGAGCTATTGTTTTTTAAACTTCAGACTAATTGACAAATTAAAATAAGAAAGCAAAAAAGAAATGAATTCTGGTTGTTGTTGGTCAAATGTTGTCCTAGTGAAAATGGCCTATTTTTTTGTTGTGTTGTGTTGTTGTTATTGTTTTTATTTACATTTGTCTCAATGAGTAAGCTCCACAACTTCACAAAAATAACTATCCTTTTGTCCATTGTAAATACGCTCACGGCACTCAATTTTCTCCTTATCTGGTCGATCTGTTTGCTTGAAACACAGTCATGCAAGTAACATCTGTATGTTCCTGTCGCTGTAAAAAATGGCACCTCAGAACTCTTCTTAATACAGTTTTTAGATTTCCACCATAGTAGCCGTATAACAAGGGATCCAAAGCAGGGTTGACGCATATCAGAAGTTGAGATGCCCTCCAAGCAACACCAGGTGACGCCAAATGGAAGTAAATTAGTGTTCGTGTGATCATAAAGGGTGACCAACAGATAACAAACGCTACGGTTAAAGCTGTGAGTATTCGGACAACTTTCCTGTGTCTTCTGTTAGTCTCTGCAGCTACAATGCTACGCATCGGAACCACTCTTCGCATAAGAGCGCGATTAATTTTTTTTAGAGTGACTATCATATATACTAAAGGTGAAACAAAGAAAATTGCTCCATGAAAACTGTAGTAAATTTGTGGGCCAATATTCCCCCTTGCTGTAGTAACACAAACTATTTGTCCGTTTTTTTTAGTTTTCAAGCGGTATATGAAGACCATAGGTGAACAAACAGCAAAGCACAGGCCCCATATTATAGCCAGTTTTGAGAATTTCATTGTCGTCCAGCGACTAAATCTAGCATTAAAGGGCTCAATCACAGCCTTCAGTCTCTGATAACTTATGACAACAAGCGTGGAGATGGAAGTTGTGTAGGTTGCCTCTATAAGAAACCCATGAAATTTGCAAGTGCTATCGCCTCCTGGCCAATGTTGGACAACGTTGAAAATCGTGAGAAATGTAAATAAGAGATCAGCGAATGCCAGATTTGCCACGAGCCACGTAAAATGATTAAATATTCTTAGTTTGATTGTCTTTTGACATGTAACAATTATGATCCATGTGTTGCCAATAACGGACATAATAAAAAGTATGCAATAACATATAGTACCGACAACCACTATGGACAACGAAAGACCGTTTCCAAATGCCATAGTCAGTTATAAGTTCAACAGTGCAACAAGACTGTATACGGTTGCGTTAATAACTATAGTGACCTTTATTGTTATCCGGTTTTCCTTTTGGTTTCCTTAGGTTTCTATATTGAATGTGCGCGGTATCAAGTTAATAAATCATTGTTTTTGTTACACTGAAGTACTCTTCTTGTATAAGTACTTTTGAGGGGGGGCGGGCGTGAAAGAGTCCGAAAACCGCAAAAACGCACAAACAAACATAAAAAAAGCAATAGCGCACCCAAAATAACCAGAAATGGAAACTGTTTGGCTTTATTTATCTGCAGTCCCGCAGTTTAAAATATAAATTCCCACAACACGTCCACATGGCATCTGGCATCCGGGTATTTGAAAACGGAGATTTTTTTCCGTCTTAGCCTTCCCTCCACGCGTAAACGACGTTTTCGGGGACCAAGAACGCAAGTTTTTGAAAACGGTCCCAGCTTGGAGTTTTTTTAAAACGCCGGCTTCTCTTTTTCGTGTGGACGGACCAAAATGGAGGTTTTTGAATACGACTGATATATGATGTCATAAATAATACAGCGCATGCCGTGTAATGGATGCTATAGATATTTCCATCGCTTTACCGTTTTTGAGTGGACAGGTGAAAACGATTCCAATACGCTACGTGTGAACGCATTTTTTGTCGATAAATTAAATTTAAAAAAATGTCCATTTTCAAATATTTCCGGATACGCGTGGAGAAGCCCTAAGGTATGCAAACACATTCCAGTCCTTAAGTAGGATGTTTGTGTCCGTCATGCCTAGTCATGGGGGTACGCATGCACACGTTATTCAGCTCCGCTATATATTCAAAGAACTCAAAGCCCCCAAGCCCCCTCCCCCCCCCCAAAAAAAAAGTTAAAGAAAAAAAAGAAAGAAAAAGAACCTTTCTCCAAAAAGCAGATAGCCATTAGTTATCTGCAATAGCTAACTCTTGTTCCATTTTGTGTTTTTTCGAAGGATCAGACGGTCGCGATCCGGCGGTAAATTGAAGATGAAGGTAAATCGCGAAATACGGAATATTTTTAGGCTTCTCTCAAAAGCTGTAGTAATTAAGAATCGACTGAAATGAACAAGGGAGCTGCAAGGATAGATACTGTTCAAATGAGAGCCCTTAACACTTGTATATACAAATCAGTGGCTCTCGATTAATCTCGATCGTACTGAAACAAACTACAACTTCACAGAGAAGATTTGAGTAACCCAGGTTTGAACTACTGCATGCAACTTGAATGTTAAGTTGATCTTTCATTCCTCAAAAAGGAACAAAACTTAGTTATTCTATGAGGAAACTGTAATGTCTTTTTACTTGTACAATTAGTTTCTGATCTGTTTGCCTGCAGCAGATTTTGGATCGGGTTTGTTAAAAACCTAAAAACTAACTTTTGATGCCGGCAAGATATATACTTAACTTTGAACAATAAATCTGGGAACAAGCAAGACAGCAGCTTTTGTTGTTTGTTCGAGCTCGGAAGCGAACCAATCTTACGGTTGTCAAAATTAACTGAAAAACTGTAAGTTTTGTTATTGCACACAGACTTTTATATTTAATACATTCCACTTGCTGGTGAATGAAAAGGAAAAAAAAATGCTATGAGCTTTAATATAAGTTACATCACAAAATCTATTCTGATCAGTAAATGTCAGAAATATCTCAGCTCTATAAAGCCGGAATTAATATTACAGTACTTCAAAACTTATAAAATGTGGGCAATATTGAGAAAACTATTTCAGGCTAGTTTTTATCTATTAACAGGTTAGAATATAACTTAAACAGTCGACGTGTTATCCGTTGTGACATCATAAGCCCGTCGCCGTGGAAAACGACCCCTCAGAACTCTTTGTAATCGAGTTTTCAGATTTCCACCATAGTAGCCGTATAACAAGGGATCCAAAACAGGATTGACGCATATCAGAATTTGAGATGCTCTCCAAGCAATACCGGGTGAAGTTAAATGAAAGTTAATTAGTGTACGTGTGATCATGAAAGGTGACCAACATATTGCAAATGCTATAGTTAGAGCTGCAAGTGTTTTGGCAACTTTCCTGTGTCTTCTGTTAGTTTCTTCTGCGACGCTGTTGCGTAGTGCTTTGACTCTTCGCAGAAGAGCGCGATTTATGTTTATCTGTGTGACATTCATATATAATAAAGGTACAACAAAAAAAAGTGTCCCATGCAAACTGTAGTAAATTTGTCTGCCAATATCTCCCAATGTTGTATTAACACAAATAATTTGGCCGTTTCTTGTTTCCACACGGTATATGAAGACCAAAGGTAAACAAACAGCAAAGCACAGGCTCCACATTATGGCCAGTTTCGTGTATTTCATTCTTGTCCAACGACAGAATCTCGCCTCAAAGGGGTGAATCACAGCCTTCAGTCTCTGATAACTTATGACAACAAGCGTCGAGATAGAAGTTGTGTAGGTTGCCTCTACAAGAAACCCATGAAATTTGCAAGTGCTATCACCTCCTGGCCAATCAGAGTAAAAGCTGACAAAGTTGAAAATTGTGAGAAAAATAAAAACGAGATCAGCGAACGCCAGATTCATCACGAGGCACGTAAAATGATTAAATGTTCTTTTCTTGATTATTCTTTGGTATGTGACTACAATGATCCATGAGTTACCAACGACTGACATAATGAAAACAGTACAATAAAGAAGACTGCAGATAACCACCGTGATCAAAGAAAACCCCTCCCCAAATGCCATAGCTCATAAGGCACCTAATTAGTGAGGGCCGGCAGCGAGCAGATTGTATAAATGCTTACATTTATTATTGACAAGACAAGAGAGAATTCATTCTCTCTTGTTATTGAAATGAACTGTATATATTGATAACTTTCCTGTCTCTTTTTTGGTACATTTATATAACACATACTCCATATAAGTAAGAGCCTTAAAAAATTAAAAAATATATCATAGTACTCTCTCGCGTTAACTCCTTCATTCCCCTACTAAAGACCACTTTATAAACGTTCGTTCTGTTCTGATTTGGACATATTATTAACCGTTTTTGCCACTGCTTCCAATATTTCTTTCCCAAAGGATGGACGTTTTTGTAGGTACAGAGCACTCACTAGGTTGACAAAACCGCAATATCTAAATACAAATCAGTTCCAGACTAATCGGTCTCCATAGATTTCCCTAAAGAACTAGTAGAGAGAAGTTGTTTAAAAATCAATTTCTCTTTGATTATGCATGGATACTGTTAGGAGAAAGTTTACATTGGTCACTTTTTGTACTATAGTTCACAATTATTCCGCCTAGAGCCCGAATGGGCTCTGAGTCAATAGCGGCCTCATGGGCTATTGATTCAGGGGCCATGAGGGCGAGAGGAATAATTTTTTTAGTAAAATCCAACTAGTTGGTCAAAAATATCGCGACAAAACAACTTTAGCTAGCGAAACGCGATTCACCCTCCATTGTTTAGTGGTTTTCAAAGCCGGCGCATTTCGCTACTAGTGCACTGGGCTAAAATATAGCCTAGTAGTAGCTCAACCAATCAGAACGCAAGATTGATTATTGACCAATTGTTGGATTTAACTAATAAGGGTTAGACACTTGTTCTTCGTGCCTTTTACCGGCCAAAAAAGTATATAGCTTCAGAATAGACTCGAAACTTTTCACTCTTTCATTCTAGAACCAAAAGAACACCTGCGGTTATCTGCCGGTAAAGCAATAAAAGTAAGTATGGACCTCACGAAAATACGACGGCGACAGGAACGGGAACGTCAAAAACCACTAGGGTTAATGAGCAAAACAAGATCCCCGCGAGTGTCTCACGCTTTTTTGTTAATTCTTTTGTCGTCCCTCAGTGAACTACCAGGTGAAATGGCAAACTTCACCTGGTATTTGACTGAGGGACGACAAAGAATTAACAAAAAAGGTTTATTTGGGAACGGAAACGGAAAGGTGGTAATTTCTTTTACTCTAGTCTCTGTCTGAGCTCGGACGGCAAAGTTTACATCGACGTCGCCGTTGTCGTATCCAAGAGAGGACGAAGGACCGTCAGTCCCCTCTTAGTAGTAACTTAATTACCTTTGACAGTATTACAAAACATCGATAATCTTTCCTTGACGATCGCGAATGCATCGTGAACAAAGTTCTCTTTTGATAAACTGTATATAACAATAGTAAAGTTAAGACGGTGAGGCATTTACATTTTGTCTTTTTGTCGAAAATGGTTGAAGGTTGTTCACAGTGGTGAAGTGCATGCAATTATGCGCGTTCAAACGATTTAGTCACTCAGTGTGATGTAGATCGCTGCGTTTCGACTGCTCGTTCGGTTTTCCATTCGGTGGGAAATTTCAGAGGGATTTAGTGTGAACCATAGGCCTAACTGTAAGAATAGAGTTGAATTTTCAAATCTATCTAGCGTAGTGTGGAAGGGGCCTGAAAGAAATAAAAAAACATTTTTGAATTGGTTTGGTTTAGTGTGAACCGAATATATTCATCCTTTGGCGTTTCAAAATGTCAGTTTAGTCAGTTGTCGGCAATTTACTGGTCAGGATTAATGTAGGCGGAGGTTGATATGCAGCTTGTCAGGTTTGTTTTTATAATGCGCTTCGGCAGTTTCTTTGATCCAAAAATTGTATAAGGGTTCCCCAAGCGATATTTGTCTTGCAATTTCTAGTCTATTCCAGCAGTTTCAATTTCGCTTTTTTCTCTTCACGGTCAGAAGCCATGCGGCCTCATGGAGTTTCTCTTCTTCTTCTTTTTTTTTTCGTTCAGAAAAAATGGGCTTCACTTAACACTTTTAAAATATCGGTCTAAATATTGGTGCTTTTTTTCTTGTAACGAAGGATTTTTGCCCTTGTTTTGTGTGTCTCCAGAGAAAGTGTCATTGTTTCTCTGTGTCAATACAAACTTTGTTCGTTCCATCTGCCAATTTCGGCCGCACATTATCTTCCCACCTATATCTCCTCTAATTGTGATAAATCCGGACAAGTAGGCAGGTTATTAGCATTCATTTTTAAAGCCTTGTTGACTGTTTCCCTAAACTCTTTCCGCTTAAAAATTGTCATATTAAAGAGGCATGAAGTAGGAACTGGTGTTTTAGTCTGATGAACGACTATATGAATAATTTATCAACTACTATTGCCATCAATGGTCCCAACCTACACGGCAGATATTTCAAACGTTGTCCTTAAATAAATCATTTCGTTAAACATTAATTTATGAATTTTGAATAAAAACACAGAAAAAAGCTTTTTGTGACGTGTTGTAGCTTATCTTCTAATCTAAACTCCCTTGCTAAGTTTTTAATATATATTTTTTTGGACGCGTGTTTAGAGCCTATCTTCAAGTAATAAATTGAAAAGAAACCACAATGAAATCAACGATAACGAATGCAGTATGTCAATAACAGTACAAAGAACAACAGATATATTCCTATTTGCAATATTTGTCAGTTGCGTCGGATGTAAAAGACCTGCTCCAATTCATAGTCATGTCTTTTTTTCCCGGAAAATCGTCGGTATAATTATATTTCCCTTCAAAGCCATTTCTTTAGCAACAAATTAACTCGGAACTCCCCGCTTATTTTCTTCCTCGTCTATTAAAGCGTTTGTTCGAAAAATAGTCAGACTGGTCAGATTAGAGTCACGTCGTTGCATGTAATTGCAATTCAGCAGACGCCGTAATCCAGACTTGAGGTTACCGCCAAAATACCCATATAACAAGGGATCCAGTGCAGCATTTAGGCATATCAGAAGTTGGGATGCTCTCCAAACGAGACCCGGGGAAGCCAAATGAAAGTAAATTAATGTTCGCGTGATCATGAAGGGAGACCAGCAAGCAACAAAAGCTATAGTTAAGGCAGCAAGAGTCTTTGCAATTTTTTTGTTTCTTCGATTTGATTTCTCAATAAATGAGTTGCTTATCACCTCAACTCTTGAACGAAGAGCGCGTTTAATCTGAGTCTGAGTGAAAATCATATACGCCAGGGGGGCAATGAAGAATAATGTTGCATGCAAACTGTAATAGATTTGTCGGCCATCATTTCCCCATGTCGTATTAACACAAACCACATCGCCACTTTGTATTTCGACGCGGTATATTGTAGCCAAGGGTGTGCAAACCGCCAAGCATAGAAACCAAATTATGATAATTTTCAAAAATTCTCTTCGTGGCCAACTACCAACTCTTGAATTAAATGGATCAATAATAGCCTTCAACCTCTGATACGTTATCACTGCAAGTGTTGTGATCGAAACGGTGTAGGTTGCCTCCACAAGAAATCCGTGAAGTTTACAGGTGACGTCGCCACCAACCCAACGCCAAAAAAAGCTGATAATATTAAAAAACGTTAGAAAAATAAATAAGAGATCTGCAGACGCTAAATTTGCCAAGAGCCACATCACAGGAAAATATCTTCTTTTCAGGGTCGTGTAGCAGGTTTTTATAACCCATATGTTGCCAACGATTGACAAGATTGAAACAGTGCTATAAAATATGCTGAGAAAAACCAACACAAAAAGCGGAAAACCATCGCTGGTCGCCATCGTGTTTCCTGACAGTGGATTAACAGCTCAACATGCATATACTTTAAGAAGACAACTCAGTCAGTAGTTTCACTCATACTTCTCACTTGCTTCCTAGTTGAAATGCTGGCGGGGAAACTGAAGAGACCAGGCCAGGCCTAAACTCAACATTTTTTCCAGAGTACTGTTTCACAACTTGATAGATCATTCTGCTTTTCTTCTCTGGCTCCAGTTTAAATTACATTTTTTGTTACGCAGAACTATTCCATTTCCCCTGTCACGTCATCAAACTACAAATAAAAGCCTTATAAACCGGCTGTGTGTGATTATCTTTTTTGTTTACTTCACACTGCGCTACCTCTCGTGAATTACAGTCCTTGGACACGACTTGAATAAATAATCTGTGTCACTGTTTGACACCCGTGTACGGCTCTTTATTTGTTTTTTAACGAGGAAACTAACATGTTTTCCGTTATAGCAGTTACCTTTAATTTAAAATACCTCTTGTTTAGAATTTCATTCACGCGAGAATATCTGTTGTCTGGTATATTTTTTGTAAAAAAAAAAAAGAAAAAAGCCGTACTAACCTTATTTACTTGTTCAAATAGTACTAACTTAATATTTACTTGTTCAAATAGTACTGCAAGTGTTTTATGGTGAAGGGAGAGAATGATGAAAGATTCCTTTCTTGAAAAAAAAAAAAAAAAAATTCAGCATTTCGCAATTATTCTGGGGTACAACCACCTGATCTCAGTACAGATCATAAAACTTGCCTTGAGGGGGTATTGTTTGTAGCTATATATTTCTCTGCCCATATAACTTTTCATTTTCCCTTTAATTGTCTTTTTTTTTTTCTTTTCTGCTAATGGGACAGCTGATGATTTTGGCAATAAATTTGTGTGACTGTTTTTTTTTTCTTTGTAATTCCTTTTATGCAGTTACACAAGTTATGTCGCCGTTGGGAGGTAGCCTGCATGGCAGGCGCAAAAAGGGGAGGGGGAGGGGGAGAGGGAGAAAAGCGCGAGAGCTAATGTGAGGACAATAGTACGTGTTCTCATCAAGTCAGTTTTAGTTAATAACAGCGAATTTTATGACTTGTCCTAATTTACAAGGAAGGCTTCAATGTCGAGATATTTATGTCAATTTTCGCTTACTCTGAGTGCCAGAGTTTTTTTTCTCCTACTCTGGGGTGACGGTCTCGCCGCTGGTGAGCGAGAAATCCTCTGGCATCTAGGATAATTTTCATTTTGAACGCGTTGACATTTTTCAGGGGCCAGTAGAAGTCTGTCCTGAAATGTACGAACAGCTGGCTTTATACGTCTGGACTGGTCAAGTCGTCTGAGACTGACAAGTCGTCTATAATTTCAAAACAGGATAAACATATTTTAAAATTTTAAAGAAAATTTTCATTTCTTGTCTGATTCTGTCAGTTTCGTTTCTTCCGTCTACCAAGTTCAGTTCCTAAGTCAATTTATGATTTGCTCGTCTAGAACAATTTATCGCCCATATTCCGACTTCAAATCACCCCCAGACGAACAAATGGTTGAGGAAGTGTCCGATCAGACTGTACTAACACTAAACATCTTCTTGAATGTGTGAAAACGGCCATTATATTATAAGGTCATTTCTTTTGAAATATAATCTGCTTTCGCAGTGAGATTTTTATCGGACCTTACTGATTGCTTGTTTATACATCTAAAAGGAACTTAATTTTGAAACAGAACGGACCATCCTCAAAAAAAAAACACTGTGTCTTGGAGCAGCGGCAACTTGTACATGGTTGCGCAATAATTTCTAACAACATCAATTTGATTACATTTATTTAAGACTACACTCTTGGAACATGTTTCCGAAATTTGTCTCTTTTCCTGCATTGGAAATTGGTCTATATTTATTCTTAAGAAATAATGTTTTGGTTTGGTTTAAAAAAGAGTGGGAAAAAAGATGATGTTTCAACACTTGCGTTTTCAAGAAAATGACGATCTTCCACTCGGATTAGGGAACCCCTAAGTTACTCTTTTTGCCAAAAGAGGATGAAGGACCTTGGACGAATTCCGGCCATTAACCAAAAAGTCGCCCTGATTTCTTTTAATGTGCGTGCGCTAAACATACGTGAAATTATGCACAGTAAGGATGCGCAGGCTTTTCCCCTAAGGCATTGATTTGTTGGCGTTTAATGTTTATTAAATGGTCATGAAAAGAGCCTAAATTTATATTTAAGAAGAAAGTAATCGATTGAAGAACTAGTCAATTAATAGGTAAAAATGTTGACGTTTGAAAATGATTAATGAGTGAAAACTATTAAGCAATGTACGGCTGCAAATTTGTGAGTTATATAGTGTCTGTATGGAAGAAGTGGGCTAACAAATTATAAATAGCAGTTATTTGATATTGACTTCATTTGTTTTTAAAGAAGGAACTCGAACCATCCGCCATTTTGAATTAATTTTTAATAAATTTTTAATTTTACTGTAAACCCGTGTGGTGAGGGTAATATGGCTTGCGGAATGACATAATTATGCGGAATGTAATATACGCAGCTGAATGATCCAAAGAAATAAATTAAACTGAAAAGAGCGCCCTTTTTTGGCGCCAATCAATTTGCAAACGCAGCTGCTGTCTTAACATACGATGACAATCAAAAAACCACGAAGGCTCATTGTCGACCAGCCTTTTCCGCACAGCCAAAAAGATTCTTCGTCTATATTTTTTTCTGCAAAAGATGTTTGTACGATTAACTTAAAAGTTTCTTGTTACCTATATTTGTATTCGAAACCGTGTGAGAAGTGTTTCTTTATGAGACTGTGGGTTACGTGATCGTGACATAATTGATAATATTCAGGCATGAATCGAATCTTGTATTTTGTTTCCTCAGTTGCGAACTTGAGACGTGCGAAACAGAAAAATCGACCAAAATCTTAATTTCGTGGCAAGAGTTGAAAAATCAATTTCTTTCATTTTTGTTCATAGATAGCTTTTACGTATATAAGAAACCTAACGTAGATTGTTCCCGCCGAAAGCCTTTTATTCGTGAGAAAAAATAGAAGATCGGTTTTCGATGTGGCGTTCGCAAACGAAGCTGGATGGAGAAATTTGGGCACTTTCAACGAACAGAAAAATTCTTTTCCTTCCACTAGAATATACTTTCTGGACAATAGGGAAGCTGGTCGTACTGAAATAATTTTAAAAATGAGGGATAGGTTTTCAGGATAACAAAAATGAGGCCCCATTAGGGGGGGTCTTAATATCCCGTATCCCTGTAATTTTTTGACCAAATATCCCGTATCCCATAAATTCCGGTCACAAATATCCCGGAAATTATAGTATCGGCCATTTTTCATATGTTACTTGCTACGATATATTTTATAATATTCGTTCACTGGCATTAAAACGTAAACTGGAAAAGTATGGTTTTCAAGGAGCTTATTGCGACAGTTGTTTAAATTAACTGCTGTCATTCAAAATATGGTAGATATCAAGTGGAAAGTTAACAAATGTTGCCACCAAAATAGCTTTTGTATACCAGTTAATATAATTAGCTTACCTGATGCCCTTAATTTCTACATATCGTCTGATACCAAAGTCCTTTCTAATTTTGTTCCTTTATTAGTTAGTTGCCGTCCTGAGAATTTGGGGAGTATTCATAATTTACCTAGAGGGTGGGCTATGACGATTTTGAGGGGGGGGGGTCACTCATTTTCCCTACTATGATTTAGGGGGGGCTGTGAAAAATTTCCAACGAAAATTACATCGAGCATAGGGGGGGGGGGGGGG